AATAACATCACAAAATTGAGGTAAACAAGGTCATAATATTCATACAACGAATGAATTATGCCTAGAATTATATCACTAAACCCATTACAGTATATTATACGACGTACGTTAAAGATTGATCAACTAAAATACAGGGTGATTCAAAATGACCGTCCCGCCAAGAGAGAGCTACCCAGAGTTCTAAATACATTATACATGTTATAAGGAGCTGGTCCACTGTTTAAATACATAAGAAAAAGTTTATCATTTATCAAGCAATTTTGGATGATAGTGGTTACTCGTATGGGGGGGGGGGGGGGTCAGCGAGTTCAATCGACCCCCTGGCCAAAAATTCTCAGAATAATACAGTTCTTTGAACCCTCTTGGAATTTAATAACTGGCATCTTGACAAAAAGCTGGCTACGGACTTGTCTGTCATGGTATATACAGGGTGAGCCAAAAGGTAACCCAAACAAACGTTTACTCAGTCATTCAGCATGGGTCATATTGAGCACAATTAAATCTTGCTCGGTGTTCTTTCATTCTACCAAGTTTTAGTGTTCTATTCCTAATGGTCACAATCTTGTACCCATTTTACAAAACATGCTATAAAATGCCTGCGTCGAGTCTGGACGCAAACTTGAACGTTTCGGGCGAAGTTGTTCACTACACGAGCACAGGCATCTTGTGTCATTACATCCCTCCCCTAAATATGCCGATAATTGATTTATTAACAAACATTTGTTTTGCTTAATTTTTGGCTCACTCTGTAGTTTATGAGGTCACATGATCTAGGATTGGCTGAGGATGGGGCACAGTTATTGGAAAATTCCTTGTATTTAAATATTTCCTTCCTGCTGATCGATACCACAAATATCTGCCACATTAAAAAGGATTTAGAAATCTATACACAGGTGTTGTGAAAGGTTCACGTAATGTTCGCGTAAACTCATTACGTTGACTACTCAGACGTACACAATACCATTTGACACTTTAGTTTCCCATTTACCAGAAAAACTGAGCAGATTTAAGCAATACATTAACATGACATTGTTAATATCGCCACATACTAACGGTTACGCAAATGGTTACGAAAAAGAGGAGTTTCTAAATAGCTTTGAAATCTCGCTAACATGAGATTTTAAGAGATTTGCACTTTTTCCTCTAATGAATTACTTTTCTTTATTTTTGATAGCATATTTTGATTCAGTGACAAATTTTCTCCAATTATAGCTTTGATTTAAACAGTTATTTCGTTTGAATCACTTCCCATGACATTTTAAAAAACCTTGGGCCAAATCTCCATTGGTGCAATGCTAAAATTCATTAAAATCTTGGTTTATTCGTATGACAACCAATCTTTTCATGGTTAATCACAATATGTACATAGACAGGGTCATCCAATAGTATGCCATTCAAGTTTCAGACAGATTCAACCAACACTCTCCGATAAATCATGAAATTAAGTGACAGTTCCAAGTTTCTAACATTGGAGTGAGTGGAGGTCTGGCCCTAGAAAATCAAAGACAAACAAGGGTGACATCTATTATGTCAGCCAGCTATTTAGAAACTATACTATTGTTATTAATATTTGTTACAAACGAGTGCCGGTGTAAAAGAAATTATGGTCCGCTGGGGATTATGGTCCCCTTTCCTTACGGCCCTTACTGGCCCTGACTGTGTATAAATACAGGGTGACCCAAAAAAAATGCAACCCTCCATTTCTCGAATATTTTTCTTAAATGGAGGTTAATTGCTCTGAAATTTGGCACACAAGAACTTCATTCAATGTGGGATCCTCTGGCAAAGTTTGAATAATCATAGTCTTATATTGATAGAGTTATGGTCGTTCCAAAATATGCTCCAAATGTCGTCCATTTCCAATGTTAGGTTTTCGGATGAGTCACATTCCCTTCTTTCTGAACATGTAAACTCAAGAAATAATGTGTTCTGGGATCACAAATTCCAGATAAAAAGCTTCACAGGCCGCTACATTCTGTTAAATGCACAGCTTGGGCTGCCAATTTCCAAACATGAAATCATCAGCCCCTTTTGGTTTGAGGTTGATAATGGCAACACTGTTACTGTTAACACACGGCGCAATATTGGCGTTCCCAGGCAGTTTTAGAGTGGCACAGAGGCTTCAATAGACAAGAACAGTGGTTCTAGAAGGATGGAGCTACTCCTCACACTTCTAATGATAGCATAGCCTGGCTCACTCGTCATTTCTATGAGAAGATTATCTCTCCCAGGACGGAGGACCCATGGTCATCCCACAGTCTTGATCTCAATGCCTCTGACTTTTATATACGGGGTTATTTAAAGGTTAATGTGTATGAAAATAACCCTACCGCAATTGCAGAACTCCAATAAGCAATGGCTGCAAAAATTTGAGCCATACCCATGGGGAAGAATGCATACGTGTTATGAACAGTTTTCCTTGAACATTGCAAGTTTGTTTTCAGCGAAATTGACGACATCTGGAGCATATTTTGAAACAACCATAACTCTGTCAATATAAAGCTATGATTATTAAAACTTTGCCAAAGGATCCCACATAGAATGAAGTCTTTGTGTGTCAAATCTTAGAGCAATTTACCTCCATTTAAGAAAAATATTGACGAAATGGAGGGTTGCATTTTTTTTGGGTCACCCTGTAATAAGGAAAATAATTGTAATTAGGTGACCATATAAATCAATAGAGAGTAGGACCAAAATGTGAAAGGACCACCTACCCTTTTACACCTGTGTGTAAAAGGGTAGGTGGTCCTATCAAATTTTGAATAGGACCAAAATTTGATAGGACCACCTACCCTTTTACACCTGTGTGTAAAAGGGTAGGAGGTCCTATCAAATTATGGTCCTACTCTCCATTGATTTATATGGTGACCTAAATACAACTCTTAATTCCCTCATTATCTTATACACAATCAGGGCCGGTAAGGGCCGTTAAGAAAGGGGACCATAATCCCTGGGGGACCATCATTTCTTTTTATTTCCACCCCCGTATAAAGTCCTGGGGATCAAACATCCTAGGAACGAATCACAGTGTTTTTAATATATCCCTGGGCAATAGATAGTCTTCATTTCCCTTCATGTCAGGACACCGGTCTCTATTATTAGAATTTTAATCAAATATCCATAAAAATTCATGGAAACCTGTTATCAATACTATTACTATAGATTAATAATAATGTATGAACCATAGTGTCTGAGAATATTATTACTTCGACCCCCCCCTCCCATTATTAGTACTCGTCCCCCAGTTACAGTAAAACCTGTAATTGCAAGAAAATCATTACTCCTACGCCCTCTATCCATGTAACAGACACTTAACTAAAGCATATCCTCTTTATTGTGAGAATACTATTACAACTTCCCTATATATGGTCGCCAACGCGCAGTTAAACCTCTATCATCTAAACCCCACTCAGGAGTTTTCCATATACAGTGAAACCTCTGTATTGTGAAAACATTATTACTCCTAGCCCCCACCCCCCCCCCCCACCCCAGCCATGTAATAGTCGTCCATGTAGAGTTAGACCTCTAGATTGTGACAATATTATTACTCCTACCCCCCCCCCCTCCCGCCATGTAATAGTCGTCCATGTACAGTTAAACCTCTATATTGTGAAAATATTATTACCCCTAGCACCCTCCCATATAATAGTAACCCATGTACAGTGAAACTTCTACATATATTGTGAAAATATTATTACTCCAAGCCCCCCCCCCTCCCATATAATAGCCGCCCATGTACAGTTAGACCTGTATTGTAATCAATGATGACCTTTAAGTACAAAATGCTGGTTTGAATAATGCAGAAGACGTCATTGGACAATGGACACTCTAAGAGCTCTAAACTAAATCAAAAAGAACCATAAAGTCCAGTTTTAATTAAACCCCATTCTTAACACCTACTTGAGGGTCAAGTGAGTGGTACTCGAATCTAGGATATCCTCTTCTAATAAATACCAATTGTACATTTATTCCAGGCGCATTCTCCAAAATGTTTAACTAGTTCTTCATTAGACTTAAATGAAACATTTGAAGCTGTGGATGCCATTTTTAATTGTTTGAGATGATTTACGTGTAGTTACGAATCGATTCAAAATATCTCAAATTAAGCAGGTTTCCAGTGGTACATGTATGTATCTGGTCTTTTTGGGCTCAAATTTTTATAAAGCAAGTTCTGTCACATTTAATTTTAATCAACTATCCACATCAAGGACAATTGAATGGATATATATTGTTGTAACATTATTGGTACTTTAGCACTTAAGTTTGCAATGAGGGTGTACAATTTCCACAGTTAACCTCTGAAGGGCTCCATAATTAGACATTCTTATAAAGCAACCTTTCTGTGAATGTAAGAAATAAAGGTTTCATTAATTATTTAATAATGTTACATAATACAGTGAACCTGTCTTAGTGAACACCTCGAGTGAACACATGCGTTTAGAGAACACCACTCCAAGACACGTTTTACACTGAACCCTGTATCAAATCCCCTCTCTGTAGTGCACACCTACCTACAGTGGACAATGTTTGTATTTTTGTGTCTCTGTAGGTGTTCACTATATACAGGTAACATGTATGTATGGATATCTATTCACGAAGCATGTTTATTGGTTTATTAATGAGGCCTAACTATCCTATTATTGGTGTATCAATATAAGAGTCTACTATATTGTACACTGGTAAAATCGATAGGGTTTTCAGTCAAAAAGTTATAAAAAGATAATATTTTAAGTACTTATTACTGCATTATTTTTTTTTTCATTTAACTTTTTTATACATAACTCATGATATTATGTTTAATCTGACAATCTAATGTTTTAAAGTACAGTAACTCATTTATTCTTGCATGTTTGGTCTCTAACTTTCAGAGATGACTAAGAAGACTCATATTAGTGGTTTTTATGTACATTTCTGCGTTTTTGGTAGGTGGCTGCCACTCAAATCATCATGTCCATTTTAGTGTGGAATGGCACATGGATGGAACATGTCATTCAGTAAATGGACATGATACTTTGATTGGCAGCCACCTAAAAATGCAGAAACATACATAAAACCACTAATATGACACAAAACTTGCATCAATTTTTAGTCATCTCAAAAAGTTAGAGATCAATCTAACCAATTATACTTTAAAATCAGTGATATTTTTAGCACACTCTGTACATAACACTGTTTCTGTCATTTGAATAATTGTTTTTCAAACATATCCCAAAACAACTGTTTGAAATTCTGATGGTTGATTGATAATTTCTCTCTGTGTCTTGTAATTCATTGATTTCCCAATAGCTGTCCTATTAAATGATTCTACCCCCTCAGGCTCTTCTATTTCCCTCCCTATCAATGTATTATCATCGGGTGTGTCAGGCATATGGACCTGTACTTCACATGTCTGTAAGGTAAAATATTCACTCTCGCCATCAGAGTCTGAGTTTAAATAAGGGGGTGCAAGGCTGTCCACATTGTAGGTGTCTCCATAATATTCCCTCGCTGGTAATGGGGGAGGGAACTCATCTGATGTAATGGAACTGTTTCTGACTAAAGGGGGAGGGTTGTTGTTAAAAGGAATATCAGACTGCATAGATGATTTTGATGAATTTCTGGAATGGCGGCCTAATGAAGTGTTTGAATTGTTCCGGGGAAGCTCACTAGATTCAACAGCCTGCGCTAATGGCACAACAGATGATAATGACGACTTTCGGGAATATAATGATGTTTTTGAATTGTTCCGAGGAAACTCACTAGATTCAGCTGTGTGCGCTAATGGTACGGTAGATGTTATTGAAGATTTTCGTGAATGAACTGAAGTTTTTGAATTGCTCCTCGAGAATTCCTTTGATACATCGACCTGCGATGATGACACCATGGATGATTTTCTTGACTGCAATGAATTTTTCCGGGTAAACTCACTAGATTCAACAGCCTGGTTTGATGATATTGATGACTTCCTGGAAGGTGGGGAAGGCTGCGAATACAACTGATAGGCCAATTTAGATGGCAGCACTGACACCCCTGAAACACTTGACCCTTGCTGAGCAGCTAATGACAAATCAGAGTCCATCATATTAACACAATATTGACCCATAACAGATGACATCTCGGACATAACTGAGCCACTTGATGATGCTCTCGACATTCTTTCTGTTTGTGTACTTTGACTGGTGCTCGATTCAGACTGTTGAGAGTCGGTATTAGAAAGTTTTCTGATGCTCTTAGGCTCAACAGTGTCATATGTAACGATGACAGATTGTGAACTGCTACTATCAAGCATAGGAACACCATTTATAACCTCAACTGTTTCATAGTCCACAGACTGTGAGCGACGTTTTTGTAAAACAGGGGGAGGCGTCTGCGGCACTATTTCATAGTCAATTGATTCTGATTTTTCATTTTTACCCAAGGAAGGTGATGCTTTCCGTTTCTTCACTTTGGCGTATAAGGCCGAAACATTTGCATTTTCAGAGCCGATCTGGGTATGTAATTGCAATGGTGAAATCTCATCATTCTGTTTGCTAGTTTTGACTTCTGATTGCTGTTGTCCAGCAACATCCTCGTACAGTGGCTCCACGTGTTCTCTATGTACATTATTATGGGATATATTATGTCCTATTTGCTCAGGATCAACATTAATGGGCCCCTCTTCCCAGTCATATAAAGGGTTGATTACAAGGGTATCATCAACACCATTATCAAGCATGACATCTGTGTCAATATCTGAAGTCCGTCTGCTTTTTTCAAATATATCAGTGCTGCCATCTTTCAATGGAGTGTTTTCTTTATTTTCATTGTCATTGAAAACGTAATAATATGCTGCATTGGCAACTACTGGGTTAGCAGTTCTGGTATCCCATGGCGGAGGTGTGATAGATGACGACTTTTTACTCTTTGGCACTTGTAGTTTCAACCCCCGTTCCTTACTTATGGAAGAAAAGTTTCTATCGTGAAACTTCACACGCTCATCGGGAAAATTTGAGATATCTATCGCTTGTATACTCTCTGTTGAGTCAGAGTTTAAGTCTGTGAGACCAACTGAGAATCGCATTTCTTTGTCTTTTACGTCTCGGGAAAGTCGATTCTGTAAGATCACTTCCCAAAGGTCGCCGTCATTCTTTTTTGAGAATTTTCTATTTGGTAATGGTTTTATGGAGACGCTGTCACCAACTTCTATTTCAGGGACACTGGGTGTATCTGGTTTAGTGGGTGGAGATTGGTGTTGCTTTCCATCAATATAAACTGCTGCCTTATAGAATTCTGTATTTGGGTCAGGTCCCATTGTGCTCATACTTTCGCCAGCAACCAATGTACCTTCACTGTTTTGATGATGTAACGGCAATGCATTCATACTTCTCTCTCGATATGGTGGCAATGCATCCATGCTCTCAGCAACAAGTGTACTTGTACTTTCAAATCCATTTTCTTGACTATTTGATCCAAAGGTGGAAGCACTGTTGCCCTGTTCGATAACCATACTATCAGTTAGTTCTTTTTCAAGTGCCATACCCCTGGCTTCACTAAAACTAGGGGCATCAAACATCGAACTGATTGATCTATCAATACTGATCAAGCTACCTAATGTCTCACGTGAAGCATACGATTCCGAGCCATATGATCCCGCATCGGCAATCTTCTCATTTCCGCAAAGGGCGTTTACATCAAGTTTCACAACCAGCACTGATATGTTTTCCTTTGAGCCGTAACTTTGTGCGAGATCCAAAAGTTTCTTAGCGGCTCCAACAGGATTGGTCAACTCGTACACCTCTTCGATCGCCTCTTTATATGACACATATTTCCACAGACCTGGAAACATATATTATACAATAAAATAAAAATTTAAAAAATCAATCAGATCAGAAATCAATAAATATAAAATATCAATAAATATAATAAACATGAAAATATCTTGTTTGTTCATTGTTCAGATTTTGTAATTCAAATATGAAATAATTTATTTTTTCTCTGAACAAAAATAGTTGTACAGTAATTAGATGTTATAAACCTCCTCGGCTGTTTTTAAGAGTAATTGGAAATGATTTAAAAATATGAACTTAATATAATGTTTCATTATCGTTCAATGAAAATTAAATTTATACTACATTACTAGACTCAACACATGTAGTATCTGACAATATTTATGTTAAATTACAAACCCTTTCTTAACCTCAACGTTTATAAACCTAGACAGGATTCTTCATACATTTAACATAAAAATCATTTATTCAAAATATTGTCAAAATTCATCAATTCAATCAATCAATTTTTCTTATAAATACCTTTGTTTGCAATGATGAGGAATTCGTCAAGGTGATTCAATGTGACGCTGGTTTGATGTGGAGTTGGGATGACGCAAGGATGGAGGTAGGCACATCCCAGAAGTCTACTGTTTACAGTTGTTCCATTGACTTTGTCATCCTGAAATTCAGTATTTAACAATTTGTAGCTTGGTCAGGGGAGGGAAGGATTTGAAATAGGAAGTATAAGAATAAACTAGGAATCAGAAATCCGAAATTGGAACCATTGAGATTCCTTATCTTTAAATGGTTAAGTGATGCTATTATTGGACCTAATATAAATAGGGTTTAGATGAACATTTTCCACTTTACAAGATTCCTGCATTCGAAAAAGTAAAATAGAGAAAAATATTCTACGAACCAGACTACAAAAAAAATCACATCGGATTTTTGACATCATGATAATAAAAGATGTAGATGTTCACATTTAATATTGGTACAGCAAAGCTCTAATTTACATCCATTATTATCACAGTCAACATTTTAAATCTTGAACAACTTCAAATTCTGAAAAAATATCAATGATCTTTGAGATAATTTATATTTATTATCGAAAGGTACAGGACAGAAAATCTGTAAGAAACTGTTCAAAAAAAATTTCGCATAAAATAGATGTCTCAAGTAGAGACTCAAAAATTTAATTGTAAAGAAATACAAAAAATACTTTTTTTATATATAAAATAAAACATACCTCTGTTACAATGCCATCAGCTTGGCAAATTCTTTCACATTCTTCTCGATCTTCTGTGACCTTGAACAGGCGGGTCAAGGTCACAGGGTCACCATATTTGCACAATATTCCCTCAATGTCACCAGTGTTTGCGACATTCATGATGTATTCATCGCTACCAGGGTTACGCCCTATGTGTAGAATCAGCCCCGATGCCCCAAGTTTCTGGCCACTGCTTTTTAGGCTTCTGAAAATTACAATTACGATCAGTGGTGTCATTAGATCAAGAAATATGAAGCATTAGCATGACACATTGTCTTTTTCTAGTAATTGCAAATGATTTCAAAGGCCAAAAACTTACAGTCTGCCAAATGCAAGTCACAAACAAGAACACAAATGTGTACAATATGTCCCCACCAATGGGTGATCCCGTCTAATGGTTATCCTGAAAATGAGTAGACAAGACTTTACTGTTACAATTTTGGAATTGAAAATGCAAAATGGCCACCCTAAAATTTACCAAGAATGCCCAAAAAATTAGTCAGCTGTAGATTTTTATACTTAGAACCATCCCTGAAAATTTGAAATTGATCCGTCAAACAGTAAACCAGAAAACAAGACTTTACAGACAAGATTTTAGGACGGAAAAATCCAAAATGGCTGCCTTGACATTTGCTCAGAATGCCTAAAAACTTATCAGTTCTAGATTTTCATACTATGAATCATCCCTAAAAATTTGAAATTGATCTACCAAACAGTTCACCTGAAAACGCGTAGACAAGACTTTACAGACAAGATTTTAGGACGGAAAATCCAAAATGGCTGCCTTGACATTTACCCAGAATGCCAAAAAAACTAATCAAATGTAGATTTTCATACTAAGAATCATCCCTGAAAATTTGAATTTGATCTACCAAATGGTTCACCTGAAAACGCATAGACAAGACTTTACTGACAAGATTTTAGGACGGAAAATCCAAAATGGCTGCCTTGACATTTACCCAGAATGCTAAAAAACTTATAAGATCTAGATTTTCATACTAAGAATCATCCCTGAAAATTTGAAATTGATCTACCAAATGCTTCACCTGGAAATGCATAGACAAGACTTTAGAGACAAGATTTTAAGACGGAAAATACAAAATGGCTGCCTTGACATTTACCCAGAATGCCAAAAAACTAAGCAGATCTAGATTTTCATACTAAGAATCATCCCTGAAAATTTGAAAATGATCTACCAAACGGTTCGCCTGAAAACGCGTAGACAAGACTTCACAGACAAGATTTTAGGACGGAAAATCCAAAATGGCTGCCTTGACATTTACCCAGAATGCCAAAAAACTAATCAGATCTAGATTTTCATACTAATAATCATCCCTGAAAATTTGAAAATGATCTACCAAACGGTTCGCCTGAAAACGCATAGACAAGACTTTACAGACAAAATTTTAGGATGGAAAAATCAAAAATGGCCGACAATAAAAAAGTGATTATACTTTTTTGCTGATTTCTTTTTACAAAATTAGCACATATAACTACTGTTAACAATAACATAGGCTTTTACAATAAAGTACACCTGAAATTTTTTATAAAGCTACTAAATAGTCTAAGTATGAAAACTCAAAAACACCATTAAATATGATACAAAGTATTATCGCACGCTTACTTTTCTTAAAACATTCAAAATGGCTGCCATGACTGGGCTAACAGGTCCAAAACCTAATCAGATCTAGAATCAAGTGAGCTGAACAGGATGTTAAAGTTTTAAAAGCAACAGTGAAGCCATTTTTCTTAAGTTTGCAGACAAGGATTTTAGCATTTGACTTCAAAATGGCCGACAGGAAGTAGGTATCGACTTGAAACTTTTTCGTCCACATCTGTATGCACTCATAAGTTATCCCTGAAAATTTGAAGGTGATATCGGTAGCGGTTTTGGAGAAAACTGCCGGACGTACGGACGGACAGACAGACAGACAGACGGACGGACAGACAGACGGACGGACGGACGCGCCTAGGCCGACAATATGGCCCCACACTATGTGGTGGGGACATAATGGTGGGGACATAAAAATGGTGACAATAACAATAGTCAGTAGTTTCATAAAAAATTTAAATCCTCCTCTCCCTTCAAATAGAGCCACCATTGTTGATTTGCCAGTAAACTGAATATAAACACAGAAAATGTGAGAAACCAATGCCATCACAATTTACAAAAAAAATGAAATGGGATTTTACACCCACCCGCCCCCTTTTAATTTTTAGATTCATTATACAAACCCTTGAAATGCATAGACCAATGGAGCCTATGTATATGAAAATCTTGAAAATAACTTTTGAAAGTTCAACAGACTCCCATCAATGTGAACATTTGGTCTGAACTCATTAAGAATTTAGACAGTTTCAGTGTTGTTCACTTTGAACAGGTTTCACTGTATATGTACTTACTTGTGGGCACTAAGCATTGCATATTTCATGTAATCACTCCCATTGGCACTTTGTTCTATTTCCCGCTCCATAATTGAAGTAATTTGGTCAGAAAGTAGTTCCGGGACCTCATTGTTATGTCCCCCATCAAACATTGCAAACAGCGCTTCTCTGGAATCTCTGAACTTGAGCTTGCGTACTGTGGTTACACATAGCCTGAAACATGTAGATATGTACATAATTACAAATGTCTTTAAAAAAAAAATAAGTTGTAGTGCTTGCTGATGGAGTTTTTGAATTTGATGCAAGATTTTCATTTTACACTTTTTCAAGTACATTTTTATTGTATTGTATTTCCCAAACTGGTGAAAAAATTAATAGAGCGATAATATTTTTCAGTTTCAAATTCTCAGCTACACCATAGGTTTTGCAACATGTTCTTTAATTGTCCATATATCCCTTTGGATATTATAAGTTCAGGCCCACTTTACCAATCACGTGTCACTCAGACTTGGACAAACTGGTTGCCTGTTTGGCAATGGTCTAAATGTCATGTACTAAATTGTGGCAAATTGTCTAAGTTTAGGTTAATTAATCATATACAGTAAAACCTGTCTAATCCGAACACGACTGAAACTGGTCAAAAGTGTCTGGATTAGCATTTCAAAGTTTCTTCTTATGTGAGTAAATCGAACATTTGAACGAAATTAGGACCAAGAAAAAGTGTTCACAATGAAAGATGTTCGGATAAGAGTAGTTTTACTGTATTTATAATTCTTACCTATTTCAGAGATTTATTTACTTACCTATTTCTGCTCCCTGATGTCTCAGTGAAGCCAACTTGCCAGGGGAGGTCTCTGTCAGTCAACATGTCACCCCTAAGGCGTTTGTTCAACCCAGGGAGTGTACGGTTCAAACTACATGTGTCTATCAAGATTACAGTCTTCTTGTTCCTGCAAAATAGTCACTTTTAGTGAGATAAATAGCATTTACAGTTTCTTTCTAATGATCAACATATGACCTTTCAAGTGCTTATTGAACCCTGGAGGGTACGGTTCAAACTACACAAGTCTTGTTCCTGGTACATTTAGTTCGCAATAAAATAACATTCACTTTTTGAAAATTTTATTTCATTCCTCAGTGGTCTACTTGAGTTTTTAATGCTGGAAGGGTATAGTTCGAACTAGATATGTCAGTAATTATTATGTGTTCTTTTAACATTAATTCAAGTTTTTAAATAAGTAGAGCCTCTGTCACATTTGCTCTACAGCCGCCGTAGCTTCACAAAATCAATAGGCCTAGCCTATATAGAATATCTAAATCCTACTGCCTATCCGTACATTTTATGCTGCATATATGCAGCATGCTGCATATTTCTCTCGATTTTGGGCAGATATGGCCACCGTACGGTTGCCATAACTCAAATGTGATCAAGGCTTAAAGCACACTACACTAAGAATGCTCCAACTAATCACTAAAGATTGACATTGATTTATCCTAAAAGGATTTCAAAACTAAGGCAAACCTGAGTGATTTGAATTCTTCTTTGTTGACTTTCAGTTGGCGATTGTTTGACATATCAAGCAGGTTGATCTGTGATGTCATCAACGCTTGCACGGAAATGTTGTAGAGTTGATTACTTGCTATATCCAGCACCTTATAATAAAACACAGGATATGATACACCAATGACAGCAAGGCAGAAAATAAACTTGTGACAACCTGTAACTTCAGTAAGAGTATTTTAAAAATCCACAGATTTAATTCAGTACATGTTAATAAAATATAGACAAAAATGTAAAATGTCCTGTTCATTGAAAAGTAATAAAATGTGTATAACAAACATTCAATTTAAAGAATGACATGTTAACATACCTTAAGTGCTGGTGTCAAAGACAGGTCTGGCAGGGCGTGTATGGCATTGGAATGAGCACGCAGGATTGTAAGTTTTGGTAATTTGGCGATGGAGCCAGGCAAGTCTCGCAGCCTATTACCAGATATATTTAGCTCCTGTAAGACTTCCAATTTTTTCACATCCCTAAATTGAGGAATGAAGAAAGGTTTAATTAAAACTTTTTGAACCTGACATTATATTATTGTGAAACGTCTGCTTATCATGTTGCATTATGGGATATATTTACTGCTTTACTATAGAATGAATTCCACAACTATTTTCACAATCATCTTGATATCAAAGGTGAACTGCACATACATGTATATACTAACATTGCTAAGGTAGAAAAATAATTCAAAACTGTTGGTTTCGCACCACTGATGTAATTGTATGCCATAAGATCTTGAAGCAAAGATAACCGTCTGCATAATACGTCTGCATATTATGGTGCATTATGGGATATCTTATTAATTAACGAGAAGAACTTACATGTCACTGATCACATTGATGTAATTGTATGCCATATGTAAGATCTTGAGGCGAGGATAGCCCATGCAATTGACATTATATTATTGTGATACGTCTGCATATTGTGGTGCATTATGGGATATCTTATTAATTAACAAGGCATTAACATGACAAAATGTCACCACCTAGTTGCTCACAATATTATGAGTTCAAACTTAAGTCAGATTTGAATTTCTGAGAACTTGTAAAGTCAAATTTGAACTTCTGAAAAGATGTAGATGATTTTGAAAAAAAAATTTGGTCAATTTGAAGCAAGTTGAAAACAGACCTTTTTGACCTTTTTTGACCTTGAGAAGGTCATTAAAGGTCAAATGTCAAATCTAAAGTCAGATTTGAATTTCTGAGAACATGTAGATGATTTTGAAAAAAAATTAGTCAATTTGAAGCAAGTTGAAAAAAGACCTTTTTGACCTTGAGAAGGTCATTGAAGGTCAAATGTCAAATCTAAAGTCATATTTGAATTTCTGAGAACATGTAGATGATTTTGAAAAAAAAATTAGTCAATTTGAAGCAAGATGAAAAAATACTTTTTTGACCTTTTTTGACATTGAAAAGCTCATTGAAGGTCAAATGTCAAATCTAAAGCCAGATTTGAATTTCTGAGAACATGTAGATGATTTTGAAAAAAAAAATTATTCAATTTGAAGCAAGTTGAAAAAAGACCTTTTTGACCTTTTTTGACTTTGAGAAGGTCATTGAAGGTCAAATGTCAAATCTTAAGTCAAATCTAAAGTCAGATTTGAATTTCTGAGAACACGTAGATGATTTTGAAATTTTTTTTAGTCAATTTGAAGCAAGTTGAAAACAGACCTTTTTTGACCTTGAGAAGGTCATTAAAGGTCAAATGTCAAATCTAAAGTCAGATTTGAATTTCTGAGAACATGTAGATGATTTTGAAAAAAAAATTAGTCAATTTGAAGCAAGTTGAAAAAAGACCTTTTTGACTTTTTTTGACCTTGAGAAGGTCATTGAAGGTCAAATGTCAAATCTAAGGTCATATTTGAATTTCTGAGAACATGTAGATGATTTTGAAAAATTTTTAGTCAATTTGAAGCAAGATGAAAAAATACCTTTTTGACCTTTTTTGACATTGAGAAGGTCATTGAAGGTCAAATGTCAAATCTAAAGTCAGATTTGAATTTCTGAGAACACGTAGATGATTTTGAAATTTTTTTTAGTCAATTTGAAGCAAGTTGAAAACAGACCTTTTTGACCTTTTTTGACCTTGAGAAGGTCATTGAAGGTCAAATGTCAAATCTTAAGTCAAATCTTAAGTCAGATTTGAATTTCTGAGAACACGTAGATGATTTTGAAAAAAAAATTTAGTCAATTTGAAGCAAGTTGAAAACAGACCTTTTTGACCTTTTTTGACCTTGAGAAGGTCATTGAAGGTCAAATGTCAAATCTAAAGTCAGATTTGAATTTCTGAGAACATGTAGATGATTCTGAAAAAAAAATTTAGTCAATTTGAAGCAAGTTGAAAAAAGACCTTTTGACCTTTTTTGACTTTGAGAAGGTCATTGAAGGTCAAATGTCAAATCTTAAGTCAAATCTAAAGTCAGATTTGAATTTCTGAGAACACGTAGATGATTTTGAAAATTTTTTTTCAGTCAATTTGAAGCAAGTTGAAAACAGACCTTTTTGACCTTTTTTGACCTTGAGAAGGTCATTGAAGGTCAAATGTCAAATCTTAAGTCAAATCTTAAGTCAGATTTGAATTTCTGAGAACATGTAGATGATTTTGAAAAAAAAATTTAGTCAATTTGAAGCAAGTTGAAAACAGACCTTTTTGACCTTTTTTTACCTTGAGAAGGTCATTGAAGGTCAAATGTCAAATCTAAAGTCAGATTTGAAGGTCAAATGTCAAATCTAAAGTCAGATTTGAATTTCTGAGAACATGTAGATGATTTTGAAAAAAAAATTAGTCAATGTGAAGCAAGTTGAAAAAAGACGTTTTTGACCTTGAAAAGGTCATTGAAGGTCAAATGTCAAATCTAAAGACAGATTTGAACTTCTGAGAACATGTAGATGATTTAGAAAAAAATTGAAGTCAGTCTAAACAGTATTTGTTAAGTTATAGGAAGTTGTAAGAAATTGTTACAGACACCGGACGCCGGACGCCAACCACCAACCGCCGTCGCAAAAAAACGGAGACCATAACAATATGTCACCACTTTTGGTGGTGACATAAAAACGGAGACCATAACAATATGTCACCACTTTTGGTGGTGACATAAAAACGGAGACCATAACAATATGTCACCACTTTTGGTGGTGACATAACAAGAAGTACTTACATGTCACTTATGACATTGATGTAATTGTATGCCATATGTAGGATCTTGAGGCGAGGATAGCCACATACAACTCTGAATGCATTGTCACTCAACTGGTTCCCTGAAATTAAAAACATTTAATGAGCCTCCTGTTTTTAAACCAACATAAAAATATACTGATCCAAGCCTGATATACACAACTGCATCATCACAAAATATATGAAAATACATTAAACCTAGTGTATATTGAACATTTTTTTGAAAACCGCGTTCAGTGTTGGTAGGTGTTCAGTACAGAGAGGGTAGAAGTCAAAAGGGTAGCAAGGGTGTCTATTTAGAGACAGGTGTTCACTAGAGTGGGTAATTTATACAGAAGTCAATAGCAAATGGGCAAAGGAAGGATGTCCACTAGAGACAGGTGTTCACTAAGGCAAGTTTTACTGTGCATGTAATGTAAATAGATAACTGTTCTAGTAATGTCTCTTTTTATTTCTCAAATAAATATGATTAAGCATAGAGGAATAAATATTCCTATGAATGTAATAAGATGATATGAAGCATATCTATTATAAATCAGTGTAATTCAAAAAGTCCATCACTAACCTGTAAGATACAATTCTTGGACTTTGTTCAGATCTTCATTTAAATTCAGCTCTGGCAGATTTCTAATGTAATTCTTTGTGGCATTGAACACCCGCAACCTAAAATTAAGTAGATTGCTTTAGCATTTTCAAGCATTTACAATAACAAGGCATTGACATGCAAAATGTCACAACCTGCCATTTGTCACAGGTGCCAAATGCCAGATGCCAATCACCCTCACAAGAAATACACCCCCAAAATGCAATCTGTTTTTCGACGCCGTTTCGGTACCAAATGGACTGACTAGTCCGGTGGCAAATTTTGGTGTCAAAAGGTTTCAGTGCCGGAACGGTGTCGAAACGGTGCCGGAACAACAGAATTTTTTCGATGTCGAAATGGCGCCAAATTGTATTGGCTGTGTAGAGGCCATCACAATTTGTCACTACTTATGGTGGTGACTTAAAAAGGCCTGGCAAGATATTCAAAGACAAACAGGAAATCATTTAAAGTATACAAGTCACAAATGATGACATATATTTTCAAATTATTTTTATTGCACAATAAGTAGCTTTCAACAAATCCCCATGTAGGGAAACTCATCAATATATCCCCATATAAGGAAAGACATAAAATCTCCATATAAGGTAACTCATCAAAGCCTCATATAAGAGACTCATCAATCCACCATATATGTAAGGAAACTTATGAAATCTCCATATAAGGGAACTCTTGAAAAGACTAGTCTCAGTTTGGAGAACGAAGTCCATCAGTCTATTGCATGTTACGCCTGCTTCGGACAATTTTGATATTTTTACATCTTGTAGATTTTAATGCCCTCTTTTGAATATTCATGATTTAAATTTGGTGACATTTCTAAATTTTTCATGAAAAAATTATTAGCCCAGGAGACTGTTCTCCAAACCAAGACTTGTCCTTTATCATTTTAAAACATAAAATACTTACTTGTTAGCCTTTGACAGAAAGTCTGCAGGCAGTTTTGTTATTCTATTGTTTTGTATGTGAATATCCTCAATACTATGTATGTCAATATTCTCTGGAAGTTCCTCTATGTAGTTGTGGTTGACTCTCAGAGATTTCAGCTTCCTGGCATCAATAAATATCCTAAAGAAGAAATAACGTTCAATATGTATGTGAGAGATATGGTTTACTCTCAGATATTTCAACTTTCATGCATCAATATCCTACAAATAAATGTAAAACATGATTTGAAATATTTCATCACATATACAATGTATATTGTACAGTGTATTACAAATACAATCCTACAAAGTATGTTGCATTGTACTCAATAGATTCTTCACAAGGTTCAACAAGAGACACAGTGATAAATATTACACTTTGAAAAGAGAGGCTACCATGTAATTTACAGATTCAGATCTTAGCACTGTCTGCTCTTGAATCTGTAAACTTTTGAAAAATTTAACTGATATTACTAAGCAGTCTTCCTGGAATTTTGATGTCAAGATTTATGTGGTGCGCCTCCCACTCAGCAGCAGAACATAACATTTTTTAATACAAACCTTTCAGGAAGCTCTGAGATGAGATTGTGACTGGCTAGTAGCTTCTGCAGGAAGAAACAATCACCAAGCCACTCAGGCAGCGTGGTCAGCTTGTTACTAAAACAACAAGGGATTACTGTAGGGATTACAAGGGATTACTTTGTCATGGAAACATAAACATGTAAGGACATGTAATAATCATTGTTACTGAAACAATAGGTGCGAATTACTATAAACTTTGTCAGGGGTCAATATGTAAGAACAACATTCATATTCTTGGTTCGGATTTGTATGAAACAGAAATTGCTAGTTAGAATTGGATCCTATGTCAATGCATTTTGCATGGCTTTGACAATAAGTAAACTTACTATGAGAGGTCTATATAGTCCAGCCATTCAGCCTTGGGTTTCACGCTGAATTCAGACAACACTGAAATACAAATGATACAGTTTTGCAACACTATAATATACAAGATTTTTCAAACAAGCATGTACTTGCATACATCATTCATAGAGGTGTCACTGTCCAAAGAGATTTTGAGAACTGGACCAAATTGTACAAATAAATGGTCTTGGGACAAAGTACTTTAAGGATAGATGCCATACTGATAATGCACTCAACTTCAGTAACAAAAAAAAACAATGGCTTCAGCAATGTCATAAATTCTTGAAAGAGATATAAAAACCTACCATTGTTAGAGGCATATATCCTCTTCAGAGAAATCCCACTTAGTTGTAAGCACCTCATGTTATTTCTTTCACAGTTTATATACTCCAGCGTTTTCACACTTCTTAAATCCAAATCCTCGACTTCATTATCCCGAATATCTAAGTGCGTCAAATGCTCAAGGACTCCAAATCGCAATGTTTCAAGCGAGGTTAACGTCAAACGATTCATTCTTACATCAATTTTTTTCACATGCTTTAATTTATCGAGTATTTTTTCCGTGATTGTTTCGATGAGATTCCCCGCCATTATGATATTTTCGATCTCCGACATTCTTACATCTGTCATCTGAGCCAGGACTGCGGGGACTGAGGTAAACTTGTTGAATGCTAGAACGAGGATGAACAGTTTCCGTAGCAACATGATCTCATCGGGAAGTTGCCATAAATGGTTGTTATGGACATGTAGAGCTTGAAGGCTGCAAATAAAAGATGCACATTTTATCCTGTTTGAATAAAAAATTGGTTCCCAGTTTTACCATATAAACCAACTTTTAATGCCCCTAATAGACTCAATGATTAGCAATGGCTGTAGTGAGATAAAAGTACATTACGTCAAATGGCTTCTTTCTCCCAATTAACAATTCAATTGCTATTTGAGATCTTGTAGCTCTTGAGAATTTGCTTGATTTCATCAAACAAAATGTTCAAAAATGACCCAAATTCATGAATTGACCTGACCATCAGTATACTAAATGGCCCACCCCAAGATGTTAAATAATCACATATACAAAATACATGTAACACAAAAATCTCTCAATTGATAGTATGACATTGACTCTTTGGATGTAGATTGTAGATTAGAATGAAATAATAATGTCCTTTTTGTATGTAGTAAAACCTGTGTAAGTGGAACACTTTTAATATTTCAAAATAGTGTTCCACTTGGGGTTTTATCCAGTCTTACTTTGATAACTGCCCAATTTCTGCTGGTAGTTCACATAGCTTGTTACTCGCCACATTCAGTTCAACCAAAGTACGCAGACTGCATATAGAACTTGGGAACACTTTCAAATCATTGTCCGCCAGATTGAGACTTCTCAGTTTGGTAAACCTACAACAATAAACGAGAGTTATTAAATAAGAATTGAACTCTACTGACAATGAGAATAGGTTGACGTAGGAATCTCAATATCTACAAGCTAAATAAGGAGTGCTGATTAATAGGCTGTTTTCTTTATTTCTTGTCAATTCTACGTTTTTAGTCTTTTTAAAACCGGTGTTCCAATTCATTTTGCGGGAGATTTCAAGCATAACCATCACAATTAAGTCTTCTGTACTGAAAGTTAACTTACTTGGGTAGATCATCGATATAACCAATAGTGTATGTGTCCTCCTCAAGGGGGCGCTCTCGTAGTGCATTATGACGCAGGTTCAGCATGGCTAGATCCTCATTGATAAACACAGTGTCAGGAAGGCTTTCTAAATGGCAATTAGAAAGATCTGCAGTGGTTGGCAGTTTAGCTGTTGCCTAGAAAATAAAAATAAAAATAAACAATGTTGTTCTTGCATTTCTTGTAAAAAGAAAATAATGATAAATAATAGCAAAAATAATTCTGGGATTTAAAAAAAATAAAAATTATTTTATATTTGATATAAAATATAAATTCAACTTTAATCCATAATCTTTTTAATCATAGCAAAATGATTTTTTAGTTTTTTTAGAGGGAATTACATTTTTTACTGTACTGTGAAATATCAATCATATAAAGTAGACCAAACTAAAAGTGCTCCAGCATACCTTTTTAAATTTCCTCAGCCATTTGCCAAATTCTGCTTCATCATTAAAAGCGAGATGAACTGTCTGGTGACCTTGAATTGAAGTAGTGACCTTGAGGCAAAGATCTTGACCTTTGACACTGACCTCTTCCACAGACCCCTTAGCAAGTTGGCAAATGGTGGGTGAATCATCTCTACTCTTATCTGGGATAAAGGAAATAATAGTTTCTACATTTGTTGGAGGATAACAATTGTGTTTATTTTTTATTTGAAGATACATTGTTCTTTTATGCTGATTGTCATTATATGTATAAAAAATATGTTTTTGTGTTTTCATACTCATAGCCCTTGATAATATTTGTTTAATTTTAAATGGAGTCATCCATACACCCATAAAGGTGTCACGACTGATAACCTTGAATTCAAAAATGACCTAAAAAAATAATGAATATAAACGACCACCAAACACCAACAATCGTACATCATCCACAAAAAAGTTGACACATAAAAATATAATAAATCAATAAATACAGCGTGCAGCAAATTCAACAAGCTTGTAGATTTTGGTAACTTATTTATTTCAAATATTCATACAATCTGTTGAAAAATATATCTGAAACTGACACCAAAAGGGTGTATACAATTCATAATTTCAGATATAAATTTTTGAACAGATCAAATAAGAATCCTCAAAACACCTTCCTTGTTCCCATGGATGATGTATGGAACCCTGCATGTGGAGAATGACCAAATAAAACAATGTACACATACCTTTATAAATGAGTAACCGCGTCCCAGATATGACGCAGAATCGCCGTACCCACTGGGGCAGCACTTTTCCCTTGCGGATGAACAGGAAGGACGACAACTGGTTGCGGGCGTATGTCATATCATGGAAAGGTTTACCTGTAAAACAAAGCATTGGATTTGACCAAAAACTAAACACAGACATGTTTATTGTTTAATGTCAAAATTCTTTTTTCTCTCTTTATGAAGATAGTAGATCCACTGTGTCAAAATGAACTCTTTATACAGATTGAGAACGTTTTTTAACTCAGCCTACATACATGTAGTTCATTTTACAGTCTTGTATCAAATCCCTATAATTTTTTCTCAAACACAGATTCATTCAAGAAAAAGATGGAGAGAGATGAGTGACTGGAGATTTGATACAAAACTACCAACTTTAGCAGACTAATTTTGAACGGACAACTACCAAAATAAAATCAGCCTCATGTGGCCTTCATAGGATAATTATGTTTTAAAATATTTGATGCATTAGTATTTCATGAGATTGTATAATCATGACACATCATTACATTTCAAATCATGCACATGAATGAATCCATGACCAAAATACAAACTGAATGTTAAAATTATCAATTTTGATCTTTACTTCATATTAAGTCAGACTTGTAATTTCAAATCAAGCAGATGAATCATCTCCCCAGGTGTTCATCTCAATAGGGTTTTAATCCTAATATTACAAGTTTTGATAGCAGGGTGGCATGTGATTTGAATTTTCAACAGGTGGCATATTATTTTGACTTCAAAAGGGTGGCTTGTAATTTTTGACTTTTCAAAAGGGTGGCTTGTAATTTTTGACTTTTCAACAGAGAGCAGCATCCAGTTGTTTTTTTTTTTTTTTTTTTTTTTTTTTTTTTTTTTTTTTTTTAATTTTTAAAATTTATTTAAAAACATATTGACTTCTGTAATATATTCTTACAAAGTATATTTTACACATTCACTCCATTTCACACACATCCTTCTTCATTCATTCCATATCTTATTATCATTTTCTTTACAGTATTTTAAATACATTTCGAATTTTTTGTACACTGGTAGTTCTTGTAGCATTTTTTGATTATACAAGAAGTATTTTGCAATAATTATAATCATATTTTCGTATTTGCTCCATTTTTTTGAGCCAAAGAGCACATTGTTTAAATCAAAATATTTGAGTTTTTTCAAAATGTGTTGCTTAACACTGTTCCAAAACTGATTTGTATATTCACAAAGATAAAACAAGTGATCAATCGTTTCAAATGCAGTATGACAGAATTCGCACATCGGCGATTGTATTACATTATATTTAAATAGATCATTATTTGTATATAAAATGCAATTTATAAGTTTAAATTGAAAAGCCCTGTGTTTAGAATACGTTAAAATGTAATGATAATAAGTATAGTAAAAATTCCAGTCTTCTTCGTTTAATTCATATTTTATACTAAGCTTTCCTTTCGCTGTTGGTTGTTCAACAATGTGTGACAATAAAATAGAATAAAATAATTTTGATGTACATTTGTTAAACTGATATATATTTTTTCCATGTACAATATCAAAATTACAGTGTTTTACATCTAAATTGACATTATTTTCAAATACATTATTTCTTATAAGCCAAGTTCTTGGGATGGCTTTTAAAATTCCAAACCATTTCAGCATGTATACATCAGATAGACCTGTTTGTACCTTAATCTGGTGCCATGTTTTAATTGATCAATCTATAAATAAATCTTTAATTTTTATTATGCCTCTATTGAAAAATTCTATCCAGAAGAGTGATTTATTTTGTATCGTGATTTTTTTGTTATTCCATATTATTTCCTCTGGTATATCAGTTTGTGAACGAGGCAATTCAATAAATGTTTGAAGCATGTGTTTATAATACTTTGGAATATCAATATTCAATTTAGTTATATCATACTTGCAATTCAATACAAATAAGCCCCCTTTTTGACGAAGGTAATAATTTGGAATGACAGTCCATGGAGAATTCTCGTTTGTATCTTTAATTAATTTCTGAACCCACTTTAGTTGGGCACTTTTAATTTTTGTTTTTAAATCACTCATTCTTAAGCCCCCTTCTTTGAAGTCGGAAATTAATGATTTCCTCTTAATTTTATCCCTGCCATTCCATAAAAATTTAAACACAATATCATTGATTTCTTTAAGGTATCTATCTGGTGTATCTATGACCGAACAAATAAAATTGAATTTTGATAACCCAAATGTTTTCACAATTTGTATTTTCCCTATTATTGTTAGTTGTCTAGTTTTCCACAGGTTAAGAGTTTGTTTTAAGTGATTTATCACGACTCTAAAATTTTGCTCATATTTCTTGGTTTCATCATGGTTAAAGAAAACACCCAAAACTTTTATTTCTCTAACCTGTTTAAGTGCACCAATTTCCCAAGTTTCATTTTTTGATTTGCCAATAGTGAAGAGTTCAGTTTTTTCTAAATTAGTTTTCAACCCACTACAATTTTCAAAGTCTTTTAGCACTCTCATAGCTTGGTGTACAGATTCTTTATCTCTTACAAAAAGTGTCATGTCATCTGCGTAAATACTAAGTTTTATCTCCTTATCTTCCCCAATTTTGATCCCTTTGATTGAATGATCATCTCTAATTGCTTGTGCCAGAAACTCTACTGAGAGAATAAACAGTATGGGGGACAAAGGATCTCCTTGCTTAATACCCCTTTCAATATTAAATTGTTCTCCACTAAATCCTAAATTCATAACTTTGGCATGTATGTTAGTATAAAGTATTTTAATCCAAGATTTGATATAGTCACCAAAATTAAATGTTTCTAATGCTTGAAAGAGGAAATCATGGTTTAATGAGTCAAAAGCTTTGAGGAAATCAATTGCGATTAGAGCGCCATCTGTGTTTCTATCATTTGTATTAAATATCGAATCTTCAATGAGTCTTGCTATTTCGGCCATATGTCTATCTTTCACAAATGCAGCTTGATCTGATTGTATCAATTTATCCAAAAAAGCTTCAATTCTTTTATAAATTACTTTAGCTATTATTTTTGCATCGACATTAATAAGGGAAATAGGTCTTTGATTTTTCAAAAATAGAGCATCTCTACCTTTTTTTGGAATAAGTTTCATTAATATTTCTCTTTGAGATGCTGACATTTCTTTTTTAGTGAAAGTAAAATTCATTGCCTCGATAAAAAAGTTCTTTATATTATTCCAAAAGAAAATATAAAATTCTATTGTCAGTCCATCGCTTCCCGGAGACTTATTTAATTGAAACGTTTGCATTGTCTTGAAGCATTCTTCGATTGTTATTTGGGACTCCATTGATAATTTATCCTTATCGGACAATTTAGGAATGTTAACATTTTTAAAAAATTTATTTGCATTATTGTCGTCAACTTTTGCGTTACTTTTGGAATACAGATTTTTATAAAAGTCTAAAATGTTTCTCTGAACAGTTGAAAAATCTTTAACTATATCACCCTTTGCATTTTTAAGTTGTGTTATACTGTTTTTTGCAGCATTTTTCTTTTCAAGTTGCAAAAAATATTTTGTACCTTTTTCGCCCTCAATAAAGTTTTGCGATCTTGATCTAATCAGTTCTCCCTGTGTAATATACTCAAATCCAGTTGTTCAGGTGAATGGGAGATCAAGTGCAGATGATAATCATTTCAAATTTTCTGCATGGTTTTACATTATCCATGCCTCACATGCAATGTGATATTGGCACTGGCGCACACTTTGTAGTCCCATGAAATGACCTTATCCCAAATAAGGTGCTTATATATAATACCATTTTCCTTACATATATACTAGAAGACAAACGAAAATGTAAGTACCAAACCAGAGTTTCATACCATTTCATTCATTTTGACATAAATGCATAACATAAAACAAATTCACCATTTCAAAAAGGTTCAACAAGTACCTGAATCAAGTTGTGTCATGCCCTTTATTTAAAATGTCAAGATATTGTTTTATGCCATTTCTACAAACTTAACTTCATTTCCTGGCATTTCTGTACAATTTAGAGGATTCACATTTTATATAAAGGCAAGACACACCTTATCATGCACCCATATAATTAATAAAAACCATGCCATACACGCCCTTAAAAATGAAAACCAATCAGTTACAATCCTTATACAAGGGCTGATCAAAATGTTCCAAAAACTGTGTGCAAAGTGGAACAAACCAGAGTTTTCCAGAATAGGAATAATTCAATTTTAAGTAGCAACAGAATTTGGCAGAGTCGTATTTAAGGGAGGCAGCTCTCTCCAAAATCATTTCTTTTTCAAAATCATAACTTTTCAGTCAACCCTTGTGTCATATATGGAAGTTAAATTCACTCCCCCTCCCTCAGCCCCGACACACACCCCTGTTCTACACATACTCCCTCATAGCCTGACTGGTTTTCATTTTCTCCATGCAACACGCTTTTTCCATTCATCTGTAACTTACTACTATTTAGATACAAAAATTTTAATGATGCAGAAAGATGCTGGGTTTGGTTTGGGAATCCTGCAATATAATTTGTTTACATTATTTAAATATCAATATATCATAGCTGTATTTCATTTTAGTGCTCAAGAGCAACTTAATAGCATTGTGTGCACATTGAGATCATAGAAGTGTTATCTTAATTAATGGGGTGATAAGAGGACTCTCCTTGAGGACACAATGGGGTACACCACCCCTCATTTTAAATTACTAAGGTAATTAGAGGCAATGGGATACACCACCCCTCATTTTAATTTACTAGGGTATTAGAGGCTTCTACTTTAGGAAACTATAGGATACATCACTTGGCCTTACCAAACAACAAACAATTAACAATAACAAACAAGCAAACAAACATTAACCTAATACATGCTTACAAGTTTAACATTATTTTATACACTATTTGGTCGATTTATTTTACCTCATCCAAGATCCATAAATGCCTGTAAATCAACAAAAAAACAATGAACAATTTTTCTAATGATCAGCAATCTTAAAGGTGGAAGCATTAGGAGTGAAAAAATGGCAACAACATGTACTACTGATATACCAAATGTGTAATTTCTCCTTAATTTATAAATGTGGTGATCACATTTTAAGAGAAATATGAACACATTACAGCAAAAATCTATGATTTTTTCTTTAAAAGGTCAATATGGGTATTTTTTTCAAATAGACATGACAAGGAATTATATTAGCTGAAAATATTTTACAATTGAGACAAATTTTTATTTAGGTTCCTCACTAAATCTGATACAACCTTTAATTGCTTTCAATAAACCAAATGTACCACCCTTAAAAATGGTTCAAAAGAAACTTCACACTGTCAACAAATCAATGTGAATGCACTTTGCATTTGATTCAGCATTTCAATAATAAAAAATTCTTTTGATATCTGAAAAGCAAAATATCATTCCAAAAGATACTTCACACTTGAAAAGCACTTAATGCATGTTGTTTCCTTATGAGGACATGATGTGATGATTTGACCCCCTAAGGACACATCATTAACTGTTATTACAGTACCTATAAGTTTATGCATTTCATACTTCAGAGCATCTCATGCTGTTAATTTGCCCAATATGAACATTCTCATTCAAAAGTATTTATCCATACACCAATACTCTCTAACTCTTCACAGGATTTTTGTACTATACAACTGTTCAAAAAATACCTAATCCGCCTAATATTCTGGATGAAAAATTCTGAAATATCCAGATATCAGTGTTCTCCTGGCAGCTTTAATGATCAAATCCTCAGGATTTTTCTCTGGAAGTGCGTGGTTAATTCTCAATTTCACAATTTCTGACCAAAATCTTTTTGTATTTCAAGGGCTGTAAAAAGTAATCAGGGAGTTCACTCTGATTTTTACCAAGAAAAAGACATGGAAAAAGCATAACATGAATGACATAAACATAATTCATGGTATTTACCTGTGTAGAAACGTATGAGGTACCCTAGTTCCATACTGGCCCCCTCATCTTGTATACGCCGCAAACTTGTGTACCCTAGCCCCTCTAAATATTCATTTTGCATCACTAGAGGGCACTGATGGGGACTAACCCGTTTGATAATATCACCATTAAATTGCACGTGAAGAGAATTAGGCGGAATCCCAAGTCTCAAACTTATTTTGTGTGCTGTAGTCGAGATGTTACATGGTACAAGTTGCGATTTTCTGAAATCTGAATCAGCGGCATATATTCGTACAAATCCATTTTCTGGGTCACTTTCCAGCCACTGGCGTTTATCCGAGTCTGAGCGGTCAAAACGGATAAGTTGAGACGCTGATAATTGGCCAACCTGGACCGTTGATGCATATAAATCTGCTAACGAATCAGATAAATCCCAGATTTCCTCCTCGTTGTCATTAGCGACATAATCAAATACTTCATTATTGTAACTTGGGGGTATGTGGCTGTTGGCTGTTCCAGGATCCAAAAAGCCTCCCCCTGTCCACCATGCTTGGTTTTTATCCCTTGTGTAGTTCCCCCCACTTCTTGTACTACTCACAGTGCTGTGATTGCTTGGAACGCTACTACCTACTGAGCTCATAGTACCACTGTATTGGCTACCTGAAATATGCAATATGTGTGTAATATGTGTAGTTTATGTGTATAAATATCACACTTCGGAGAGCAAATTGGCAGTTTCCCTGGAATTCTAATGACAAAATTTTTGTGGCACCCCATTGCCCACACGGATGCACATCCAACAGCACAAGATCACAACAATAAAATGTGACAAAAATGAAATGACATGGCATCAGAAAGTGAGGGGGTTTGCTTAATGGAAGAGTTTTTCAGTACACATCAATCTCAAAAATGTTTTAACAATTCATTTTGCCTGAAAATCACCCTCTCTTGTCATTAACTTAATCAGTATAGAAGATCATAGTTTATTCCATTTTGTAGATTAACAGAACATTTTAACATTATATACCTGCACTAGAGTTTGATATTCTGCTCTTCGCACTCCCATATGATGTCCGACTCTTGCTACTTCCAGCAGACACTCGACTCTTGGCTGTGCTGTTTTTCGACATATTAGTTAGCCCTGCAAAACAATGTAAATACATGTCATTTATAACTATAGTTACAGTAACATGGCATTAATGTCAACCAACCTAGTAAATTATTGCAAATGCCTACAAAAGTGCATTGACCATCAAACACCAAATTGATTTTATGTTAAGTTGATTTTAAATATTTGTGATTCTTCAATTTGTTGATTTTACTGATAATATATATTCAACTACATGTACTGTATAATAAATCACATTTTTTCACATATTTTCCTCCATGGCTTTGATTTGGTATGCTTTACTCATATCAAAGTTGACTGCTAAATACCCATCCTCCGATCACAGGGCTTCAAAATCCAGATTATATTCTTTCTTTTTACCCCCTGCGATAAGCAGTTAGCATTTCCCCGATTATGAACTCGCAATCTGATTGGCTGTCGCAACACTGCGACAGAAATCATGTATAAATCATTGCGCACAATTAAATCATGTGATTCAGTTTAATCGGGCGCTTCCAAATAGGATATAGCAGGGGGAAGAAGGAGGTACGGATTCTGGATACCTGCTTAGGAGGATGCTAAATAACATGCTCCAACAATATTCAACTGTGCAAGGTTCACTACAACAGGAAACACATTCACTCCAAACTGAATTATGTATTAAGATTCAAATGACACATTGGACTTAAATGTTTTTAAGATCATAAATGTCCTTGAATCCTTCAATAAGCCAGGCCACTTTAAGGTTCATAAAGTGAATAGAATATTTATAAATCTACATCTTCATACAAAATGACTCGCTAAAGCAAAAAAGAATTCCCACAGAAAAAATATATTTGACAAACGCTTCAAACAATCCTTTTTTACCAATTAGCCCACGGATAAACTGTCAGGGTTCATGAAACAAAATAATATAAAAGAAACAAAAATTTCAAGAAATTTGCAAGTAGGAAATGCACAGACAAGTGGTAAAAGACTCTCCATTATACAGAATTCCCAAAAAGTAGAACTTTACTGAGCAACAGCTGGTATTAACGCTTCAATCGTAAAATTTCAAACCTTGGATAAAATTCATTGAGTGCCATAATCATAAAACATACTCTGAGCATGCAAAATTTGAAGTATCATAAATAAACGATAAAAAGGTAATTGAAAATTCTATAATTCCATTAAACAATGCTAACACTTGAACATGACATCTTGTTGGAATTTAGGATTAGTGGAGTGACTCGGTAAGGCTTGAACTTACAATAAAGAATCGAGGAATTTAAAATAATCACTGATTTTAAGTATTGCAATTTTTCAGATTTGCCTAAATTCTATCATTTCAGCTTTCTGATTTTACTGATGATTTATATACTGAAAAGGTTGATTGCCTTTTCGTTAATTCATTTACATGTTTTGTACTTTATGATTATGTTGATCCATTAAAATATTTATTTCTGAATTCCTCACTAAATTACCTACTATTTGTCCATTTTTTCTCAAGGGTAGCCATCAAAATTGTCAAAAATGTAAATTGATCAGTTAAAGGGTGTGGTAAGGATCAATGTTTATCAAAGACAAAAAGCAAATATGACATACCACAATCATGTATAATGAGCTTACAATGTCTTCAATTCTACATCAGGTAGGAAATTCTAAAATCCTCATGAACACAAACATAAATACCTGACAAAAACTATTATTATTAAATTTGTCAATCACTCTCACACTATAGATGAATGTACTAGTCAATTTATCCATAATAGTCAGCCATTCTACTGATAACTATTACATATAATTTTGATTATTTCACTTTTGAGGCTAATAAGATCTCAATAGTCTCAAATACGCATACCATATTCGCCGTAAAAAGCGCTCATTGCACTTTTGAAATTGAAATTCTTATTGTTAGCCATCATAAAGAAAATTGTATAACACTAAAGAATTATCAAGGATGGCATACTGAATTGCTGGGCATTCATAACTCCCAAGAAATAAAGTAAAGGGGGCACTTATTGTGATTGGGCATTTTTTATGGCGAATACGGTACCTTATATGGTACTCCATGAATTGCATTATTGACCTTTGCCCTAACTATCATCCTCAAAGGGTGACCGATGACTGCTGACAGGTAAAATGAAAAACATTCGAATTCCAAATTCCGATGCAGCCCTGATTTAATGACTGAAGTTTAGTGACCTTGGGAGCAGACGGCTTCACAAAAAAACTGCTCACATTGATTTCAGTGCTTTGTAGTAAGTTAAAAAACACCATATCAACTTACTCATCTTTTTGTATGAGATGATGAGAAAATTAGCCGTATCATTTTCTCACTGAATAGAACTGTTCCACATCATGCACAGTGTACACCAGTATAAGTCTAATATAATGCATTTATCAGGTATAGTGTCAGAAGATCAATGCACTTTGCTAGTGAAGGTTCAAAAAGCTTGTGGCATTTTATTTGATTTTTTTGATTATCAGTGGAAAAAAGGGATGACTTATGAAAGAATTTTAAGGGAGGAAATATTATTTGAAACAAAATTTCAATTTGATAGATGTTTATGGAAAGGGATAACATTCATGACATTTGTGCAGAAAATAGACATAGATGCATTGAGGGTCTCAAATAATAGTGCAGACTCCAGTGTCCATAATCGTCACTTGCTTACTGTTTGATAATCATGGAGGAAATACAAGTTTAATGTTAATTAAGGAGAATAAGAGCTGTTTATTGAAAGAATATTATAGCAACTAATCTAGATCTTTGAGACCATTAAAGCATCGATAAACTGTTTTCGAAGTGAATTCCTTCAATTTTCATTAATTTTTGAGAAAATAAAGTTGACTTCTTGTTTGTTTTTTCATAGCTGAGTCGACTCAAAGCTTTCCCGTGGCTTGCCCCACTACTTGCTAGAGATTCTGAGGCTATATGGCAATCAAAAAACTGGTAGTTGAAACAATATGTCATCACTTCTTGGTGGCAAAATAAAAATGATAAGCATGACAACAAAATTTTGTAAAATCTTGAAAATGGAATTCTGCTTTCTTGAAAGGGAGCAGTTTAATTGAGAAAGGACAAAGGGCCATCAGTCAATAATAGGTAAATGTTGTTTTTTCAAGATTCTTGTCAGACTAACAAAGTTGACATGACCCCTTTCAAAACAAAGTTCGTCAATCTGACATATTCACTTTTGGTTTTGAATATATTTAAAGTTATTCACAGTTAAATAAATATGTGGATGCCCTCGACTTCTCACCTTATAATGATAAAGAAACTGACAAAAAGAACATTGAATATGCCTTCCTGCTTTGACTCATTTACAATCAGGAAGAAGGTAATTTAATTTCTAAAAAATAAAACAAAAATGAAAGTAACATTGAGAATGTTCATATTTTTGTATTGAAGTTTTTTAGTTGTACATACCAGTTTGTTTTTACTGGATATTCATTGTATCTGAGGGATCCCCTTGATTGCAACATGCAGTGTCCTGTACCCTGTTATGAGAGGTGTTTGCCATTTCTCATTTCTATTAAGTCAAAATTAGACCACATTCCCTATGTGTCTCTCCCCTTAGAAACAAGACACACAGTGAAAGATATCACAATTTGAATAACAAAATGGCCACCTTGTAATTTACCCAGCATGCCCAAAACCTAATCAGATCTTGGCACTACTCTGTTGTAAAAATTTCAAGTTGAGTGGTATATTGGTTTTCCTGGAATTTTGATGACAAGCTTTGATTTATGCAGCACAATGCAAAACAGTACAAGATGACGACAATATAGCAAAGTGTGATGAAAATTCGAGATCCATTATTCTGATAGTATAGTGCAACTACCAAAGGTTATAATTATGGTCAAAATGGGCGAAAACTGAAAACCTGATACAGAGATATAACATATCTATATACTTAACTTATTAATTCACCGTGTGAACTAGGATGACTTACTGTGAACTTTAGAGGCTGCGGGCCCTTTCCTATACACCATCTTTAGATGTGGCAAAATCTTCCCAGATAATTATATTTTGTACGTCCTTATTATCTTAGCCCTTTGGGGCTTTTTCGTTCACACACTGATCAACTTAACACATTTTCACCATTTTATCCTGTCTATCTATCTCTGATACTTTTTAGTCACGTTGGTCTTTTTGGTGTTATTTTCATACTTAAAACTGATATAAGTTAATATGTCCTCCAATTTGTATATAAAATATGGTGAAATCTTTGCCAATGCAACTGAGATAAACATTGCGTTGGCAAATATCCTGGTAGACATGTAGTGTTTTAAACTATGAAAATGCACTATTATGTGTTGATACTGAGACCATACATTAGCCAACACTCAAAAATTATTAGAAAAATAAGAAAAAATCAGACAATTTTGTGTAATTTTAGAAAGAGAGTGAAATAAGTATGAAAGCAATGACAATTTAAGCAAGGGATTTCCAATGCTGAGTTTTTTACCTGGGAATAAAATGACACAGTAGTTTGTTCTTTTCTCACTCATTTGAGCATGAATAATCAATTATGAAAACATATATAATATGAACTTAATATTGCCAACACTAAAAACAAATAATTGGGATGTTTTGACATCTCAATTTTACAGATCAAAAACTTTCCAACTTTGATCTCTGTTATTTTACCTAAGATAAGTTAATGTTGACAAGGTAATGTGTGTTGTCAGATGTCATCAATAAACTTAAAGTAAAACAATTAAAACCTCTTCCATTTAGATATTGTCTACTTGAAAATATCAACTCATTTCCAAGTATGTTTTCAGATCCGTCCCTGGTATTGACATCACTAAAATACATACATTACTAAAAAGGGCTAAAATTAAAGAACCACAAATAAAATTCAAGTAGAACCGTCCTAATATGTCTTTAATACAGACTTAAAGAACATGACCAAACATAAAATCTACTACTTCAGATAAAAAAAATCAAACATCAAACCTATCCATTTAAATAATGTAGTTAATATTGCTTAGTGGTATTTTCTCAATAACAGAACAGGAAATTAGACTTATATTTACCTGTCTGCTTGACTATCATGTGAACTTGTTAAGCACTTTTGTTCAGCCCCTTGGTTCAAATATGTAGAGCCGCCTGAGGTTCCTTCTCCATTGGGGAGATCATGGTGTAGATCTGAGAGATCGAGGAGGATGATGATCAACAGGAGGCACTTTTTGGTTTATTTCTGAAACAAGCAAATGAAAAACTCCATTTTATATCTTTCCATGTTTTAATTTTGTACCATAACATGCAACTGTTCAACCAGCCCTGAAATTACATGTGATGTTGCAAATATGTTTATTCTGGTATACCTTAAAGTCATACATATATTAGTATATTTTATCTGTTTATTTCCATCAGTGTACACTCAGGGAGGGAATAACCCCAGGGTTCAAAGAAGACATATTCGTCTAACATGTAAATCTGTATTGAGAAGACATCCTTCTGATTGGTCAAATCGACAGACAAACAATGGCGGTTCCAAAATTTTCGAAACACACTTCAAATAATTTTATGTCAATTTCTGGCATTGCTACATTTCAACTGAATTGCTGGTATCTCTACATTTCAACTGAATTACTGATATTTCTATACGGCTTCAAATTGAATTACTGGTATTGCTAAATTTCAACTGAGGCACTGGTATTTCAACATTTCAACTAAATTACTGGCTGCTACACTTCAACTAAATTACTGGTATTGCTATATTTCATCATGAACTGAATTACCGACATTGCAACATTTCTTCTGAAATAACGGGACAGTTTCTGTACATATATCTTTGTTGATTACTGGTATTTCTACATTTCTACATTTCCACTGAATATCTGGTATTTTGGCTTAAAAACAATACAATTATACAAAATTGAAATATAATAGACTGCAGTAGGATGTTGAGCTCTTGATTAAAGGTAACGGATGGCAGGTGATTTTTGATCCTACCCTGATGCAGGATATAGTAGCAAACTAACGAATCTCTCTTTTAAGAAGGGAAGTCAAACAAATGAAAAGGGTTTCATGACACAAAATCCCACAGATGTTTATCGTAACTAATAATGATTACCCATATATATATTTTTTATTGACATATTGTATCCATACAGATGATGACACAAAATTAAAATCTGATGCTGAGTCAATAAATAAGAATACAGAGTCATACTTTGAATATGAAGTTCTTAACTAGATGACGACACTGAAGGCACTTTCTGAATTCACGATTCTGATTCAACATGTTTTAGTTATGCTGAGTGTATATGATGTACATGTACTTGACACATCTGCATAGCTTAAAACATGTGAGCAAATATTTTTTTCACATTTCACACGCCCAAGAGAAAGAATTTTTCCCACTTCTACTTCTGACTTTTTTTAATCATCAAATCGTGTTGCTGGATTAATTTGTGTCCTACTTTTTCCTATGGATTCCCAGGGGTAATAATTGTAAGTAGGAAGGGGAATCACATTCTTTCTCAACTCCACAACATTCCCATTTTCCCATGTCTATTAACTTATTTTCTTCTTCCTTATGTGTTTTGTTCAGTCTAAGAATAAATAAAAAAAATGAAATCCAATACTTACAAATATCTAGCTCTTTATCCACATTATCTGCTCAATCTTTGCGATATGAATTGTGCAATTTACTTATCCAGAGAAACAGTTCCTCAAAGCTTGCCGCCTATTTGTTTTCGTAATTGAGTATCTGGATTCTAGTTGTTATTTTTCTGTTTGAGTCCATTTCAGGCCAAATTCTAGTCAAAGTAGTTGAAACCTGTGTTAGTTGTTCCTGTTAAAAGAAGGTACACATTAGTCTGAATGCACCTAATAAACATTGCTTTCTTCTTTTACAAGTTAACAAATATAGACTTTTTCACAGGAGTGCTGGGTTAATAACATACTTGAACATGATTTAGAGGCACATTCAATGGTGTAGACTAAATTGATTTTCTTTTTGTTTACACTTCACTAAGTTTCTTTTGTAAGGTTGGTGGTAAAGTATTTGACATGCAACTGAATTGAAATTCATGGGATGAATCATTAATTCTGACAGAAATTTTCTACATTCTTCTCTGCATTGAACATGAACTTCTTTGGTTTTAAGTTTTTAGGATTATGTGTACTTTTATTTTATGTTACTCTTACACACTAATAGGCATATATGCTTCAGAGTGTTACACATTCACTTGTGATGACATTTTTTTCTTGTTTCTAAATACTTAAAGAATTGGAAAAATCATAGTTGGTGTCTATAAAAAAGCCTATAAGTCCACCCGCTATGGCTAAGTGGCAGAGTCACCAATTATTTCCAATATCGCTTGGCCCCAGGTTCGATTCCCCGTTCAGACAAGTTTGTCATCCTTGGTCCAAGGGTATTTCACTTCTTTCTGAATTTAAACATAAATGAAGTCCTTTGAAGAAGGATGAAGTTTGTTTGTGCGTTATGTAATTCTTGGTGTTTGACTGAGTGGTTCACCGCTCGTATAAAAGGCTATGGTGTGTACCTGTATGTCTGTGTACCTTTGCACATAAAAGAAAACAGGGCTCCTCCAAGGAGGAGTTTCTGGCTATGTCTTCGAGTGTCAGTAAAATACGGAATATACCAATGAGGTATTGCTCGCCAAATGTGGCGGTAACCAAGATATAATAATAATAATATACAGAAGGGGCAAACAGGGAATTTAGAAGCCTGAAATAAAGGGAAATAAACCATAGAACATTGGAAATTCATTTTTCTCTCCTAATCAAAGGCTACCACATGAGTACATGTACAGAGAACGATACATCTATCTCTGCATTATACTGTACATGAATCTAGGCAATCGACTGCTAGTAAGATGACAAGCAAAGATCTCACAGGCACTGGAACTTATCCAGTTCCAGGACTATAGTCCTGTACTGAGCGCATACATTTGCCGGTACGATTACAACTTGGGAGAATTATCTACGCCCCTTCCACTTAAGAAACCTACCTCAATGCATTCTAGAACTCAAAATGTAACTTCTAATATATTGGAACCGCCGATTGTCTGGGTTAGTTGGCAGAACGAGGTCTTTTTGTTTCTTATGGCTCTTTTGGTCGAAGTTCGATTAAGATGGCGGTTATAACGGAATTTACCGAACTTTTCCGTAATAGCACAAACTTGGTATTTCATTACGTCACTTCCGTGTTTAAATGGATTTGTTTCCGGTAAGAAACATTGTTTAACCATTCGGTATACAGTTAAGAGCATAGGATGTCGGCATGGCAGTAAATATTGAAAATATTGTCCGAAATTTTCGAAATTCCCTCTTACCAGAAACAAATCCATTTTACACGGAAGTGACGTAACGAAATACCAAGTTCGTGCTATTACGGAAAAGTTCGGGAAATTCCGTTATAACCGCCATCTTAATCGAACTTCGACCAAAAGAGCCATAAGAAACAAAAATACCTCGTTCTGCCAACTAACCCAGACAATCGGCGGTTCCAATATATTAGAAGTTACATTTTGAGTTTTAGAATGCACTGAGGTAGGTTTCTTAAGTGGAAGGGGCGTAGATAATTCTCCCAAGTTGTAATCGTACAGGCAAATGTATGCGCTCAGTACAGGATATAGTCTTGGAACGGGATAAACTGGAACAGATTAGCAAAATTGTCCAAATAGAAACTACTTACCAGGTTGTTCTATGTCATCCATCGGACTAGGTTGCATTGTGGAACGCAGCCAAACACGACAATTATTTGTTAGATCTAAATAAAATCAAGTTCTGAATTCAATCATGAAAATTTATCTCTTGTAAAATTGCTAAAAAAATGTTTTCGACTATTTCATATCTGTTCCAGATAGATCTAAAAGACCGAAATAAAAGTACTCTACCTTTAGTAGCTGTATGATTAGCCTAGCTTATTATGTAAATGTAAAATGTAATAGTGAAAGGCAAACAGCAAATATTTCATATTTCCCACTTTGATTTATTTACATCCGGGCTTTTCGGGCATTTCTTGCCTCGTTCTGGGGTGATGTCCAGAAATAGAATTCACTTTAAATGACGTCATTGTAAATCAAATAATAAAACAAAACGTTTTACACGAATTTATCTCTAATATCACCCTGCAAGTTTCACGACTAAATAATCATAAAAAATAAATGTACGTTTTGTACACAGGCCACGACATTTATCAACAAAATATTATAAGTATTTCAAAAATACGTCATTGTGTTCTCGATTTCTGGATAAGAATAACGTTTCACCGCCATTTTGATATAATTTTCAAGAAAAAATATGGCTGAAAACACAGTTCAGGAGGGAGTTGGAGATGGTCAACAATATAAAGGTTTGTCTTTATAAGTAACTAGATATCTCATAGTTCTTTGTGCCAAGTTTGGAGTGATAAAATGACCCATAAACTTAACATTTTTGTAAATATAGTTCCCACTTGTTTCAAAAAGTTCCAAGGCGCAATGATTTCGAGAACTTTATTCTTGTAGAATTTCTTACGCCAAGCAGCCGAAATAGATCCCATGTAAACATCCCCGTAAACATCACTGTTTTGTAGCTAAATCTTCTTTATCTCCATATGTTTGAGGATACTATATGAGTTCTTATGATTGAATAGTCATTGCTCTCTTAGTTTTTCAATAATTTGCATTTGTGTTGTCAATGTTTGTTGTGTTTTCCTGCCAATAATTTGCAGCATTATTTTTCAATAGGACAGTTTTACAGGACCCATTCAATTCTTGTTACTTGGTAACTTGTGACTCCTAGGGTAAGGCCAAACATTGGAGTAGCGTGGTGCTCGTGAAGATCCCCCCCCCCCCCCCCCCCCCCTACTACGATTGAGTACAACCAGGGAAACTGTACATATATATCGATCTGCTTGTGCTTATGTAATGACCCATGGACATTCGTCCTGGTAGGCCTAGCTGTGGAGCAATGAGCCAGATACTAGACCTGAAAGGAAGTGTGCTAAATTCAATGTCCAGTACGGGAATCTAATCCGATACCTTCCGCTCGAAAGACTGACACTCTACCGATTCAGCTGTCGGGGCTAGTTACTCCAGCATGACTATAGCCACTTGGAGTCCAGTACTTGATATAAGCGTAATGACCCTCAATAGCAAGTTACTATATCTTTGCTGTAGCCTAGTAGCTAGCCCTTATGGCTGAATTGATAGAGCGTCAGTCTTGCGAGCGGAATGTCTTGAGTTCGATTCTCCAACTATAGGCATTGAATTTAGCACACTCCAAAGTCTACCATAGTATCTAGCTCATTGTATTACAGCTCCCCAGACGAGTGCCCATGGGTCGTTACAGTGGTGTCTAAGGTGGGATTGCCCCTGTTAATCAGTTATGATGAGACATCATTCTTCAGGAGGGATGGTGTAAACTGTAAAGACCCTTTATAGCAACTGGTTACATGTAGCTGTCAAACAATTTTTGAATCGTTTCATACTGTTTACAATTCACTCTCCCAAAATAAATACACTGATAACTCAGCATGCACACACATTAAGAAATTGTGAAACTCTATAATCTATAATTTTCAGGAATAACAGAATATACTCTTGTGAATGTTGACAGTCTCGGTCAAGTGACTGACGGTGGTGGCGAAAACCAAGTGATTTACCTGCAAGCCCCATACAACATCATATCAGAGGCTGGCACACAATTTGTAGAAAAGTTGACATATACTCAGGTGAGGTGATATATCTCAACTCATCATTATATTCCTGTTGTGTCGAATAATGATTCTGTATACAGTGTTCTCACCAGGATTTTTGCAATATTTTTCATTTCTTAATTTAGACCAAATTTGGTCATAATATGCCTATTTTTCATGATTTTTCTCATTTTCAAGTTTTTCAAATGGATTCTCAGGTATGTGCAAGCCTTTTCCTCCTTTTGGAAAGAGACAATCCAAAAATAAAGTCAAACGCAAAAATATATGAAAATATTTTTAAAAAATTGGGGTGAAATTTTGTGTTGACTCACGCAAGCCCCAAAAGCTTATCTGGTTAAGGGCATGTTCCTTTTATTTCAGCTTGAAGATGATGGAGGTGGCGGCGCAGGTGATGGTACACAACAAGAAAACATCGACCCCCAGGCTGTCTACTTGCAACTTGCTCCTGCAGGCGCTCCTATTGAAGAATCACAATTACAAGTATTCCCTAATAAGGATGTTATCGACATCAAGCCACCTGTCGGCAAGGTATAGTAGTAGGTTGTTCTTATTGTTAACGACTTAGAGATTAAAACATTTCCAGTATTTTTTACCTCATGTTTAAGGTCATTCAAGGTCATAACCAATATATTAGGGTTATGCACAATTAAACAATTTGATTTCAGGGGCCTTTCAATTGTGAATTTTGCGACAAGAAATTCACAAAATGGAATCAACTGCAGCGCCATCTTAGAAGCCACGCTGACGACAAACCCTTCCGTTGTACTCAATGTAGCTCCACCTTTAACCATGAAAGCAACCTGGTCCTCCATCAAGCCACTCATAACACGGATGATCCAGTTTGCCCGGAATGTGGAAAAAAGTTCTCACGTGTCGCCAGTCTTAAGTTTCATATTATGATGCATGAAAAGGAAGAAAATCTGATGTGTACAGAGTGCGGGGATGAGTTCAGTTTACAGGTGATTATGTCATGAAAATGTAAAATTTTGAATAGAGAGAAATTGATGAGAAACGGAAATGAAATAGATATGCACAAATTGGAGTGAAAATGCCTTATCTACCCTTATCTCAAAAAAAGTTGAAAATAATTTTTAAAACTCCACTGGGTATAGCATAAATCAGTTATGTATGGTCAGTTTGGATCTAGGGTTTATCCCTCGTGAGATATGCACATCTACCTTCGGTCTCTGCGCTCCCTCATGTAGATATGCATATATCCCTCTGGATAAACCACATATCAAAAACCTCCCATTACATAACCCATATATATTTCAGCCTCAACTTGACAAGCATATGCAAGAACACAGAGATGAGCAAGTTGGTTCCAGAGTATATGCTTGTAAACAATGCTCATTGGAGTTCATGAAAATGTCACTTCTCCGCGAACATATGAAAACTCATTACAAGAAAAGGTAAGATTATTCATATATTCATACATTATATTTGTTGACATTTTCAATACACCCTTGCTGAACGTAATGACCCCAATCTCAGCCTATGTGGGTCAAAACACTTAGATATTTTCGAAAGTATTATGTAACATCTCAGTTTTCATGCCCCATATTGCAAGAACTGTCCTTTGTTTAATTGAAAAATATCTTCAAAGGCCATGAACTTTCAAAATATGTCTAGAATAACTTAAAAATTATTTTTAGAGATGATTAACAAAACTGTGGACATTTCAGATCCTCACATTCTGTTAAGCACCACAGGCAGAGGGTTGACAGGTCTGGGTTCACACAGAAATGCTCTCACTGTAATAAAACTTTCCAGAAACCCAGTCAATTGGAGCGACATACGAGAATACACACAGGTAATGGTGGCATTGAAAAACACTCAGTTGAGACTTTGAAATTTACATGGTGTCAGTGTTTAGAGTCAAACAGCACCAACTCAGGAATTTGATAAATTATAATAATTGGAATGGTCATATTTTGAGAATTATTCTCCGGAAAATTTTGGAATGGAGAAATTAATGTTATATAAAATGAAATTAATCTTCTCAAAAATGTGTAAATGAAATGTTTATTTTTCCTAAAAAATAGCTTAAAAACAACACAGGGGTCACTAGCATCAGGGAACGGGCAATTTTCCAAATTTTCGGGTGTTTTTTCCAAAATTGAATGTTGTTTTGAAGAATTCTGCAAAGGCACGCTGCAATAAAATAAAATTATAATTCCCAATAATTTTGCTTGTAGTTCTTATATTCATTTTGCCTGTTTTAGAAATTCAAATGAACCCCTTATTTAACCAGTGCCAGATATTTTACATATTATATTTTCATAATTATATTCCTTAGGCGACAGGCCATATAAGTGTTCTTTGTGTGATAAAACATTCAACCAGAAAGGAGCAATGCAGACCCATATGGTTAAACACACGGGTGCCAAGCCCTTCCAGTGTGACTTCTGCCCATCAAAGTTTGCTCAAAAAGGAAACCTTAGAGTCCATATCCAGGTAAACTGGACATTTTTGAAATAGAATATGAAATGGGTCACGATTTTTGGACCTTAACCGAAAATGCTTGTATCACAACCAAAGATGCTTCAGGGAATTTGATTGGTTCCTTAAACCATCTTTGGCCATCTTCATGATGTAAACATTTTTGGTTGCGGTGCATTGGTGCTTTCCCTATATGAAATCCATAGTTGATGAAAAATAGTCAAAATTGCAGATATGAGCATGGCTACTTTTTTTTCACCCAGCTCTGGTTATTTCAGAAATTATTAATTTCATGGAAAGTTAACAAATGATGTATTGTATAACAATTAATTTTTTATTTTGAAGTGTTTTTTGAATTTGAGTGTCACCTAAAAATATAAACTAAACCTCTTCAAATCATGTCTCTGATGAATATTTTATTTTATTCAAAAATGAAAAGCGTAAAAAATCTGAAGAATTTTCTCATTAGGCTATATATTGAAAAATTTTTTTTTTTCAATCTTTGTTTTGTAACTCCATACCCATGTAGAGCTAATGACGTATATGAAATTGATTCAGAGTTCTATGTTTATTTCAGCGAGTTCACACTCAAAGTCAAGATGGAGAAGGCCTTGTGTATAACTGCAGTGAATGTAGCTGTATGTTCAAGAAACTTGGATCTCTAAATGCTCATATGAGTAGACAGCATTCAGAATTGGTAAGGCTTATTTAATTCAACATATCTTTTTTACTTTCAAATTATTAGAGGGGATCGGGTATTTGCAATTATGAGTTGGACCACGAAGAAGTTGTGAAATATTTTTATGGCCACCATTTTTGTAAGTGGCGCTCAACATCAGCATTTAACGTCAGTTATACAAGAAAATACTTATAAATTGTAATATTTTTGAAATTGCAACTTGGTCATCGGTGGTAACATGTGTACGTGTTGTTATTGATGCATGTTAACATCTCATGAACATGTCCAAGTGCATAACAAGCTATTAGAGCCAATCTAACCAAACACCCATGACTCATCTTGGCCACTCCTTCAAATAATGCATTTTTGGTTAAACTTTCATCCCTTAATGCCTGTGCAGTGATATGCAAAAAGTATACTTTTTCCTTAAAGATACACCATGTAAATGCCCTTTAAACACTGTATGCCCGAGATATGCAAAATAGTACACATCCTCCTAAAGATGCACATGTAAATGCTAATTCAGCATTGTATTCACAATGTCCAGTGGACTAATATTAAAACATAACATGATTCCAGGAGAATGTGAATATGGGAATGATAAACGAAAATTTGATCACCCAGCCTGCTCTACACGATGGTGGGGGTCAGATGGTGGGGGGCAGTCAGAAGAAGGACACTAGGGGAGTGCTGGATGTCATACGTCAACTTGTCGAACTCAGTGAGGATACTGACCCTGAAGCCACTCAACAACAGATACAACAGGTTTGAAGATTTATTCGTTTCAGTTATTTTATCATTGCCTTATTTCTTTCATAGTAGGCTATAGCAATGTTTATCTAGGATTATTTGAGGATTTATTTCTATAAAACTACAGCTCCAGAGCAATCACATTTGAATTAGATGCTTACCTTATTTGCATTTACCAATGATATCATAGGTACTCTATTATCAAGGTGACTCAAAGCAGGGTGACAGTGAACTCCTGTAATACCTTAAGTCCATTCACAAAAAAATTCTACCATGATATATGGATCTTTAAAAAAACATGCCCAAGTTTATGTTCCAAATATAACATCATTTTTGTATTGTAGATTGCAGTCGAGGGTAACATCAGCCATGATATTCTGAGGGAAGCTTTAGAGAACAGTGGGCTCACTGCAGTACCATTAGACAATATTCAGGGTGGGCCTCCTAAATCTGATGCACCTGCACCTACAATTAATGTCACAACTTCTCACCAGCAGACTACACAGCCTCAACATAGTATGTTTTAACCAAATACATAAGTTTGATTTTTACTTTTGTTTGTAAAAAATGTTTATTTAGTCTAAAGGTTAATAGTCCTCATCCATTCAAAGGCCTCCACAAAATTACAAATATAGTTTTGACATTAGTACATCAATTTTCTACACATCAACATAAAACCTGATCCACGTTTTTTCGTTAACATACCTGTGTATATATACCTAATAATAGTACCATTACAAGATTTCAAATTTTAGCCTATATTTTCCATGTTATGTCATAAAAACCTTCATGTTTATCTATTTCAGATGAGGGTCTTCCAAATCTTGTAATGAAATCGGGAGTCCAGTCTGTGATGACAATTCATGATCCACTCTCTGGAGTCCCCAAGAAACATTTCATAAGAAAGGTTAGTTCTTTGACATACGTGTAAAAGAAATATATGTTCATGTTTTATGCTGTCATTTAATTATCAACATGGGTGAAACATAAGCACTGGAGCAGAGGCAGGAGTATCTTATTTATATTCGACCCCTTCCGGTATTTCTCTAATATCTCTTGCTTGCTCTATAGGTGGCAGGAGTGAGGTGGCATCAGTGTACCTATTGCTCAAAGGAATTTAAGAAACCCAGTGATCTTGTGAGACATACAAGGATACATACTCATGAAAAGCCCTACAAATGCACTCAGTGTTTCAGGTAAAATATCAAGCTTTACCTAAAGTTTTTTTGCTTCGTTATTATTTATTTATTAAAATCATATAAATATGTTTTCATAATGGTGATAAGGCAGGACACTTCTAAAAGGCTTCAGACTCTAACTACACACTATGTGCCCCAGATATCTGTAAAAAATGGTAATCACAGAAAATATTTGTATCAAACTCCATCGATGGACGGAGTTGAAACTCGGAATGAATCTCTATTTTTGTGACATCTTTGTACAATCTACATTATTGCAAATATAGACCTATTATGCCTGTATTCTAATTTCTTGCTGAATTCAACTATTTTCCGCATGTATGTTTAACTTTGACCATTACAAGTATTTTACATTTTTAGGTCGTTTGGTGTAAAAAGCACACTTACTGCGCATTTAAAGACTCACTCTGGTGTGAAAGAGTTTAAATGTCAAGTGTGTGATAAACATTTCTCAACACATGGAAGTCTTAAAGTGCATCTTAGACTACATACAGGTAAGAGACAATTCAACCTTTGTTCTAATAATTTATTTTCAATGTTTTTATACTAAAAGACGATGATTCACGGTGCACAACATTAAGCTTGTATTCAACATTTTCTACAAAGGTCTCATTTTAGGATTTTTATTCAATGTGCATTTTTATGTGACCATCAAAAGTGGTAGCATATTGTTGTATGTCTCCAACTTTTTGTGGATCGTGTTCAGTGTTTGGTATTTGGTGGTTGGTGTTTGGTGTCACCTTCAAATGGCAGATGGTGGCATTTTGCACATTAATGCCTTGTTTACTGTAAAAATTGACTTTGTATATCTAATGTACAAATTTTAGGTGAGACATACATCCATAGACGTATATTCCATCTCATAAAGAATTTTCCATGATAAGATACTTGTACAATATTTACGTAACTTGTGCCTTTTCCACTCCAGGGGCTACACCTTATGAGTGTCCGCATTGTGATAGAAAATTCCGAACCTCTGGACACGCGAAGACTCACATACAATCTCACTTCAAGGACAATGCTAACAGGAAACCAAGGAGGACCATCAAGCGAACCTCTAAACCAGAAATTCCAATGCCAGATATACCTTTACAGGAACCAATTCTCATCACTGACACAGGTACACAGCCAATATAATTCGGCGCTGTTTCGGCATCGAAAAAATTCGGCGCTGTTCCGGCACCGTTTCGACACTGTTACGGCACCGAAACCTTTTGACACCAAAATTTGCCACCAGACTAGTCAGTCCATTTGGTGCCGTAACAGCACCGAAACGGCGCCGAAAATCAGATTGCATTTTGGGGGTGTAGTGTATCAGAAGTTGTAGTTTTAAATTTAGATTTTATCACACTAATGAATTCAAAAGTGAAAAGATACATGTAAATGCTTATTTTTGATAACTAGAAACAAATAAATAAATGATATAATCTAGAAATAAATGGGAATGAAAAAAGTTTGTGGTTGAAATATTATTTAGGTCTTTCTGTATTTGTAAAATTAGTCTTATTCTTTTCCCTGATAATTTTACATGATTAAACCACCTCATTGCTAGTGGTGGAGCATGAGATTGAAAACCTTTCTGAAAAATATAATATTAAAAAGAGAAAAGAATACCTTGCTTCAGACAGAATTTCATAACATAACAACATAAAAAAGATAAACCTGAAACAATGGACAAAAAATAAAACTTTATTGCAGCAATTGTTTTTCTATTGCAGGTTTAATACAGCAGCCCCCAAGAGGGAGCCAGATGTTCTCACAGTTCCTCTCAGAGTCAGGAAGTGTTGACCGACCATTTAAATGTGGTTACTGCTCTAGGGGATTCAAGAAATCCAGTCATTTAAAACAACATATAAGGTCACACACAGGTAAACTAAACACACTAATCAGAATTCAGTATTTTAGTAGGTTTTTAATTAATGAAATATCTACATGTTTTGTTTTCTTTCCAGGCGAAAAGCCATATAGATGTCTTACCTGTCAGCGTTCATTCGTCTCCAGTGGGGTGCTAAAATCTCATATCCGCACACACACCGGGGTCAAGTCCTACAAATGTATCGTCTGTTCGACAATGTTCACAACAAACGGTAGTTTGAAGCGCCATATGTCAACACACAGTGAAGTTCGTCCCTTTATGTGTCCATACTGCCAGAAAACATTTAAGACATCAGTGAACTGTAAAAAGCACATGAAAACACACAAGTAAGACTCAACTCTTAAATAAAAGTTGCTTATATATTAATTATTTTCAATATTATCATGAAATTTGATTGAAGGGGCTATTTTTATTTCGGTTTAACAGGTGGTGACATATTATTATAGTCTCTAACTTTTTTGTGGAAGGTGTTCAGTGGTTTGGAGTTGGTGTTGGGTGGTTGGTGTCTGTAACAAATGGCAGGTGATATTTTGCATGTTAATGCCTTGTATGGTATTTCTATACAACTTAGAGTATTAACTACAAGTCTGTTGATTTCATTTCTTGCCCTTTCCATTCTATTTTTCATATAAATCAATTTCTAGGGGAGAGTTAGCGCTGCAAGCCATGCAGGAACAGCAGTTACAGAATGGCCCTCAGATCTCACAGAAACAATTGGAACAGATGCAGGCCCAGGTGACCAGGGTAGAAGAGGTCCATGCCCAGCATGCACCACAGCCTCAGCAACAAGAGGTATTTACCCTATACCATCTTACTCTAATTTTTTAAGAAATTCAATTTTTTTCTTATTTTTCTGTTAAATTTGGTCATTCCTTGCTATTTCTTGAACTTTGTGAAGTGGCATGGACATTTATTAGAGGGTGGGCACTAAATATGGTGATAGTGCTATTTACATGAATTATGATTTATGAAGAACTATCTGAAAACTATATCTGAATCTTTCATTTCTATAATTGTCATATAACATCAAAAAATAAATCATTACAAACATTGATATTCCATGTTTTCAAGGTGGTAATAGTTGCTATGCCTCGGTCAATTGAAGAAATTTCTTAACCCATATCATTTATATGATTGCAATTTCATCACAAATTCTATTGTTAAAGTGAAATTATGTGTTTTCTAGGTGTTAACAGATATGCCCCAGTCAATAGAGGAACAGAACATCATGCAGCAACAGCCTGATATCTCAACTCAACAGGTAAGACTCCCTTTCTTTGGGTTTAGGTGTTAACAGATATGCCTCAGTCAATAGAGGAACAGAACATCATGCAGCAGCACCCTGATATCTCAACTCAACAGGTAAGACTCCCTTTCTTTGGGTTTAGGTGTTAACAGATATGCCTCAGTCAATAGAGGAACAGAACATCATGCAGCAGCAGCCTGATATCTCAACTCAACAGGTAAGACTCCCTTTCTTTGGGTTTAGGTGTTAACAGATATGCCTCAGTCAATAGAGGAACAGAACATCATGCAGCAGCAGCCTGATATCTCAACTCAACAGGTAAGACTCCCTTTCTTTGGGTCACTTATGTGTCAGTCTATTTGTATGTCTGTCGGTCCATCTCCATTCAATTTTCAATAGGTTTTATCACACTTTTTCAAGTTATTGCTACTCATTCTTTACAATCTCTCAAAGGGAAAATAAAGTATATCCTTGGACAAAACTCTAATCATGTAGACTTTACAGCTGGTATTCATCATATCTATACATTCATCTACATATTGTATATAAGTTTAATATTCATGATGTGTTTCTATAGCAACACCAAGCAGACATTGCTCAGGACCAGAGTGGACTGTTAGCCAACACAACACTGACAAAGAGCTGAACCAAACTGTGGTTAGCTCAGACCTTTTTCACTCAGATTCACACTAAGTCACTCTTGACTATTTATTTTCCAGCAACACCAAGCAGATATTGCCCAGGATCAGAGTGGACAGTTAGCTATCATGACAACCCCTATACTGAACCAAACAGTGGTTAGTTCAGACCTTGTTCACTCAGATTCACACTTAGTCAATCTTGACTATTATTTATTTTCCAGCAACACCAAGCAGATATTGCCCAGGACCAGAGTGGACAGTTAGCTACCATGACAACCCCTATACTGAATCAAACAGTGGTTAGTTCAGACCTTGTTCACTCAGATTCACACTTAGTCAATCTTGACTATTATTTATTTTCCAGCAACACCAAGCAGATATTGCCCAGGACCAGAGTGGACAGTTAGCTACCATGACAACCCCTATACTGAATCAAACAGTGGTTAGTTCAGACCTTGTTCACTCAGATTCACACTTAGTCAATCTTGACTATTATTTATTTTCCAGCAACACCAAGCAGATATTGCCCAGGACCAGAGTGGACAGTTAGCTACCATGACAACCCCTATACTGAATCAAACAGTGGTTAGTTCAGACCTTGTTCACTCAGATTCACACTTAGTCAATCTTGACTATTATTTATTTTCCAGCAACACCAAGCAGATATTGCCCAGGACCAGAGTGGACAGTTAGCTACCATGACAACCCCTATACTGAATCAAACAGTGGTTAGTTCAGACCTTGTTCACTCAGATTCACACTTAGTCAATCTTGACTATTATTTATTTTCCAGCAACACCAAGCAGATATTGCCCAGGACCAGAATGGACAGTTAGCTACCATGACAACCCCTATACTGAACCAAACAGTGGTTAGTTCAGACCTTGTTCACTCAGATTCACACTTAGTCAATCTTGACTATTTATTTTCCAGCAACATCAAGCAGATATTGCCCAGGACCAGAGTGGACAGTTAGCTACCATGACAACCCCTATACTGAACCAAACAGTGGTTAGCTCAGACCTTGTTCAGGCAGCAGTGATTCACAATGTCCAGGACTCTCTCATAGAGCAACAACTAAACAATACTCTCAACCAACAGGTACAATTTCAGTCTAGTTATTAAACCATTACTCAATAATTTGGTATAAAGCTCACAAATGGTACATGTATATACTGTATTAGACTGTATTTTCAGTTCCTAACCAGTTTCATATAAAAAAATATATAATTTTATTCAAACAATACCCTTTGATAGAAGTAAACAATTTTTCATATTGTCCTGGATTAACTTTTACAAAAACACAAAAAAAACCAATTGTCTGTAGTGAGAAAAATTATTAACAGACTGTTCTTCAACCAATCATATTTGAGCCCATTTTGTTCAGATTGAAGAACTGACAGTACTGCCAAAAAATTCTTTCTATTCATACCTTGGACACAATATTGCAATTATCATCTAGTAGTATCATGTATGAATAATACAGTCTTTTAATTCTTATATTATCCTAAAATAGATGTATGGACAACACACCTTGACTTCCACCAACCTCTCTCAACAGCAGACATTGTTGACCAATACTCAAGCCATGTACAGTAACCCCAATCTCTTATAATTCTTATATTATCTTGTAGATGTATGGACAACACACCTTGACTTCCACCAACCTCTATCAACAGCAGACATTGTTGACCAACACTCAAGCCATGTACAGTAACCCCAATCTCTTATAATTCTTATATTATCTTATAGATGTATGGACAACACACCTTGACTTCTACCAACCTCTATCAACAGCAGACATTGTTGACCAACACTCAAGCCATGTACAGTAACCCCAATCTCTTAAAATTCTTATATTATCCTAAAATAGATGTATGGACAACAAACCTTGACTTCCACCAACCTCTCACAACAGCAGACATTGTTGACCAACACTCAAGCCATGTACAGTAACCCCAATCTCTTATAATTCTTATATTATCCTAAAATAGATGTATGGACAACACACCTTGACTTCCACCAACCTCTCCCAACAGCAGACATTGTTGACCAACACTCAAGCCATGTACAGTAACCCCAATTTCTTATAATTCTTATATTATCCTAAAATAGATGTATGGACAACAAACCTTGACTTCCACCAACCTCTCACAACAGCAGACATTGTTGACCAACACTCAAGCCATGTACAGTAACCCCAATCTCTTATAATTCTTATATTATCCTAAAATAGATGTATGGACAACACACCTTGACTTCCACCAACCTCTCTCAACAGCAGACATTGTTGACTAACACTCAAGCCATGTACAGTAACCCCAATCTCTTATAATTCTTATATTATCTTATAGATGTATGGACAACACACCTTGACTTCAACCAACCTCTCTCAACAGCAGACATTGTTGACTAACACTCAAGCCATGTACAGTAACCCCAATCTCTTATAATTCTTATATTATCTTATAGATGTATGGACAACACACCTTGACTTCAACCAACCTCTCTCAACAGCAGACATTGTTGACTAACACTCAAGCCATGTACAGTAACCCCAATCTCTTATAATTCTTATATTATCTTGTAGATGTATGGACAACACACCTTGACTTCCACCAACCTCTCCCAACAGCAGACATTGTTGACCAACACTCAAGCCATGTACAGTAACCCCAATCTCTTATAATTCTTATATTATCTTGTAGATGTATGGACAACACACCTTGACTTCTACCAACCTCTCTCAACAGCAGACATTGTTGACCAACACTCAAGCCATGTACAGTAACCCCAATCTCTTATAATTCTTATATTATCTTGTAGATGTATGGACAACACACCTTGACTTCCACCAACCTCTCTCAACAGCAGACATTGTTGACCAACACTCAAGCCATGTACAGTAACCCCAATCTCTTATAATTCTTATATTATCTTATAGATGTATGGACAACACACCTTGACTTCTACCAACCTCTCTCAACAGCAGACATTGTTGACCAACACTCAAGCCATGTACAGTAACCCCAATCTCTTATAATTCTTATATTATCTTGTAGATGTATGGACAACACACCTTGACTTCCACCAACCTCTCTCAACAGCAGACATTGTTGACCAACACTCAAGCCATGTACAGTAACCCCAATCTCTTATAATTCTTATATTATCTTATAGATGTATGGACAACACACCTTGACTTCTACCAACACTCAAGCCATGTACAGTAACCCCAATCTCTTATAATTCTTATATTATCTTGTAGATGTATGGACAACACACCTTGACTTCCACCAACCTCTCTCAACAGCAGACATTGTTGACCAACACTCAAGCCATGTACAGTAACCCCAATCTCTTATAATTCTTATATTATCTTATAGATGTATGGACAACACACCTTGACTTCCACCAACCTCTCCCAACAGCAGACATTGTTGACCAACACTCAAGCCATGTACAGTAACCCCAATCTCTTATAATTCTTTTATTATCTTGTAGATGTATGGACAACACACCTTGACTTCCACCAACCTCTCTCAACAGCAGACATTGTTGACAAACACTCAAGCCATGTACAGTAACCCCAATCTCTTATAATTCTTATATTATCTTATAGATGTATGGACAACACACCTTGACTTCTACCAACCTCTATCAACAGCAGACATTGTTGACCAACACTCAAGCCATGTACAGTAACCCCAATCTCTTATAATTCTTATAGATGTATGGACAACACACCTTGACTTCCACCAACCTCTCTCAACAGCAGACATTGTTGACAAACACTCAAGCCATGTACAGTAACCCCAATCTCTTATAATTCTTATATTATCTTATAGATGTATGGACAACACACCTTGACTTCCACCAACCTCTCTCAACAGCAGACATTGTTGACTAACACTCAAGCCATGTACAGTAACCCCAATCTCTTATAATTCTCATATTATCTTGTAGATGTATGGACAACACACCTTGACTTCCACCAACCTCTCTCAACAGCAGACATTGTTGACCAACACTCAAGCCATGTACAGTAACCCCAATCTATTATAATTCTCATATTATCTTGTAGATGTATGGACAACACACCTTGACTTCCACCAACCTCTCCCAACAGCAGACATTGTTGACCAATACTCAAGCCATGTACAGTAACCCCAATCTCTTATAATTCTTATATTATCTTGTAGATGTATGGACAACACACCTTGACTTCCACCAACCTCTCTCAACAGCAGACATTGTTGACTAACACTCAAGCCATGTACAGTAACCCCAATCTCTTATAATTCTTATATTATCTTGTAGATGTATGGACAACACACCTTGACTTCCACCAACCTCTCTCAACAGCAGACATTGTTGACCAACACTCAAGCCATGTACAGTAACCCCAATCTCTTATAGTTCTTATATTATCTTATAGATGTATGGACAACACACCTTGACTTCCACCAACCTCTCCCAACAGCAGACATTGTTGACCAATACTCAAGCCATGTACAGTAACCCCAATCTCTTATAATTCTTATATTATCTTGTAGATGTATGGACAACACACCTTGACTTCCACCAACCTCTCTCAACAGCAGACATTGTTGACTAACACTCAAGCCATGTACAGTAACCCCAATCTCTTATAATTCTTATATTATCTTGTAGATGTATGGACAACACACCTTGACTTCCACCAACCTCTCTCAACAGCAGACATTGTTGACCAACACTCAAGCCATGTACAGTAACCCCAATCTCTTATAGTTCTTATATTATCTTATAGATGTATGGACAACACACCTTGACTTCCACCAACCTCTCTCAACAGCAGACATTGTTGACCAACACTCAAGCCATGTACAGTAACCCCAATCTCTTATAATTCTCATATTATCTTGTAGATGTATGGACAACACACCTTGACTTTCACCAACCTCTCCCAACAGCAGACATTGTTGACCAACACTCAAGCCATGTACAGTAACCCCAATCTCTTATAGTTCTTATATTATCTTATAGATGTATGGACAACACACCTTGACTTCCACCAACCTCTCTCAACAGCAGACATTGTTGACCAACACTCAAGCCATGTACAGTAACCCCAATCTCTTATAATTCTTATATTATCTTATAGATGTATGGACAACACACCTTGACTTCCACCAACCTCTCCCAACAGCAGACATTGTTGACCAACACTCAAGCCATGTACAGTAACCCCAATCTCTTATAATTCTTATATTATCTTATAGATGTATGGACAACACACCTTGACTTCAACCAACCTCTCCCAACAGCAGACATTGTTGACCAACACTCAAGCCATGTACAGTAATCCCAATCTCAACCAGCTGAACCTTACTACACTTGGCCAAACACTGAATGCCCAGGTATGTGATAATATAACAGCTACGTTACATTTATTAGGTTGTGCTTAGAGAAAACACAATATTACAAATTGCAATTGTGATTTGTGTGAAAATAGTTTATGTCCATTCATATATAAGTTAGAGATCTCAGCATTAAGTGCAATCGGTTCTGCAACCTGTTGAAAATGGTAAAATATTGAGATATTTTGACCAATTAACAGACAGAATGGGGATTCTGCACAATCCTTGGGAGATCACTGTATGTCATACCTGTATTTTCAAAATGTATAAAAGGTCAATGATTTTGTAGTAGTGATATGTACACATATATTTTTATGCTGGAATGTCTTAAATAGTTCACTGGAGTTATTCAATTGAATATCCTCTTGTCGTGGTTTTATCGCCTGGGCTCTATGGGGAATCAACATGAGCTAGTAAAATCATATTTCTAAAGAAATGAAAGTTTCAAAGTTGATACACAATTTTTAAAATCGGATCTCTATCTTGTCTATTATAAATGAATCTATCTTATTTCAGTCCAATGTCATGCAGCCTAATATTGACATCAGTACATTTACAAATGGATTAGGCCAGGGGTCAGCGTCACAAAATCTGGCTCCCACTTCACAAACATTGACCAGTACAAATATCCTGAATATTCTACAAGACACGTAAGTGAAAATATCTGCTTTTTATTTGCATGTACTCGTGTATCTGTAGTACTTTTGATATCAAGTTTGTTTTACAATTAGCCCGGGGTCCATGCCCCAAATTTAATATACTCTGCCAAATATAAATATCTCATCCTGCGTAAGAAAAATGTATTTGTATTGTATCCTGGCAAATGCAAATATCATTTAAGATAACAGACCCCTAGCCAGCTTTTGCCACGGGGATTCTCTTTTTAAAAAATTTCAGGGAGTTCACATTTGACAATTTTCTAAAAAAATGTCCTAAAGATCCTAAAATAGCCAAAATCACTTGAAAAGTGCTCAGAATGGTGAAAAACTGCATGATTTGGAAATAATTTTTGGCTACGGACTTGGATAAGTAGGACATAGGAGAAATATATCACTTTCTCTGTATAGCAGGTCACTATTTGAATATGGTATACAAGTGGATATGCCCAAGGGCTCACGTCTGAAAACCTAGGCCTGAAAAGGTCTCAAAAGAGTGACCCATAAAGATATCTTGCATATTCATACAAATACAAAGTGACAGTGCCACTCAGCTTTACAACTACTACTCTGCATTGCATGTTTCAATAAATATGCTTATAAGTCATTTAGCGCTTGGGTCTTTGTCACAAAGCCTGGGAATGAAGCTCAGAAAAGTGGTTCAGAAAAAAAAACATTTTAAAAATTTTAGTCTCATTAAAGGCAATGACACAGAAGTATATGAAATATGATTAACACATATTTTCAACTATTATCTGTAAATCATGAATGAAATCAAAATGTAATTAAAATTAAAGATTAGATTTTCCTATCTAGAATTTCTAATTTCCAGGCAAAAGGTTGTCGACCATGATGATGATGATGATGACAATGATGAGGATGATATGGCAGACAATGTTGGAGCATCTGATAATGAAAATGAACCTGAGGAGGACCATGTTACAGACAAGAAGAATCACATTTGCCCATACTGCCAGAAAGGCTTTAAAAAGAGCAGCCAGCTGAAACAGCATGTCAGATCCCACACAGGTACACATGCACTTGTTTTTCAACTAAGTTTCTTCAATACTAAGGGATTGGAAATTAATTTTTGGAATTTAGACTTGTGGAAGATTGAATATCAAAACTTCTTTTGCAGTGCTTTTTAATACAGTGCATACCTTTATATGATTGTATAATTGATAATTATCCCACCCTAAGTACTTTATATGATTGTATAATAGCATTGTATAACTGCAATATAAAACCAACACTCACCGTATACAACTCTTGAGAACGATATACAACTCTTGGACAGCGTATACAACTCTTCGACTTGATATACAACTGCTGAATTTAACCTTTTATTGATTAAAGATAAGGGTGGGATAATAAGATCATATAATGGTTGATTCTGTATATCGTTATACTCTCGTGAGTATATGATATATTCACTCGTTCCCTTCAGTCACTCGTGAATATATCATATACTCACTTGAGTATAAACGCGATATACGGAATCAACCATTATATAACCTCATAATATACATGTATATACAAAATTGCAAATATTTTTGAACTTTGCAGGAGAAAAGCCCTACAAATGCCCCCAGTGCCAGCGTATGTTTGTCTCATCAGGAGTCCTCAAGGCTCATATGATCACACATACAGGACGCAAAGATTTCAGATGCCCAATATGCCAGGTAGGTTCCCATGACAACCAACATGATTTTCAATTAGATGCAAATTCTTGGTGCTGTCATTTTTGCAAATTGTCTATTGACTGGGTGCAAGGTATATTCAGAATTCTTAACTGGGTGCAAATTGGCTGTTGACTCAGTGCAAGGTAATTTAGAAATCTCAATGGACTGCAGCATCCAGTCCCTTGAGCTGGTGACATGACTGAGGCTAATAAATAATATTATGTAAATGATTATTATTAAAAATAAGTTCAAGCACACAAGTAATGAAATATATTTAGAAAAGCTCATATTTTAATTTTCATACAACTAAAATCATTTTCTTTTGATCTGCAGACTGATTTTACGACCAATGGTTCATGACTCGCCACATGGTCATGCAAAATACAAGTAATGTTTAAAAAACCTCATATTTATTTTTTCAACAACTCACATGATAATTTTCACACATCTTAAATCGCACCTTTTCTCTTGATCCGCAGACTGATTTTACGACCAATGGTTCATTGACTCGCCATATGGTGATCCATAGTGCGATAAGACCATATAGATGTCACTACTGTAATGAGTCATTCAGGACGACAGCTCTATGTAAGAAGCACATGAAGAGTCACTCGGAAACAATTGATGGTAGGAACAATATATTACCTATGAGATTTCTATTTATTCATAGTATAAGTACACTATGTGCAGGAATGATGATACCTTATACCAAAAAATTATGATAGCCAGCTTTCATCAAATGGCATAGGAAGTTGCAATTTCTGAAAATGACATATATTTTAATATATTTTGATGAAAGATCCTAAGAGAAGTATAAGTCAGAATTGTTCTTAGTGAAATTATGTTCAATGCCCTCATTAGCCCTCAGCCTTTCCTGGCTCAACAACTTTTCTCTTTTGAGAAATTGAATATTATCAATTTGCTTTTACTTGTACTCGTACTTGTAACTTGAAGCTATAACATGAGTTTAGTTAGTGGAATCTATACAATGTATTACCTAAAGGATGTACAAGGGATAGAGAATGTTAATCTTAGAAGCAATCTTTTCAAAAGATTTGCCAATGTTTAAAGTATAGAAGCTATGGAAGATTCATTCCATGTACTTTCATTCAATTCCTTGTAATTTCATTCCATTCCACTCTTTTTCTATAATAGATGATGATTCAGAGAACAGAAGAAGTGCAAGATCAAATGTTGTGAAGATAACTTCTGAAGAAGCTGAGGAATTAAGTAAGACACAGCCTGATAGAGATATGAGTATTTCAGAGCGTATCTTAATTCAGTCAGCTGCAGAAAAAGAAAGAATCAGCGAGGTAAGGTCTTTGGAATTTAACTTTCCCTGGCTGTGTTTTTTTTGCTGAAATTGCTCATTAAAGTTACTCAGATTAATGCCATGGTCATATTTGCTCCAATTTTGAACACCGGCTCCCAGCCAATGAGTATTTTATTCAAAACTTAATGCAATTTTGAACAAAATTCTCATTTGCCAGGCCCCGGTACTGAAAGTCTGAGCAAATGTGACCACAGCATTAGCAAGGTAATATTTTTGAAAATATTACAGTCCAGTAAAGTTGAAGTACAACTTTTACAAGTAATTTGTAGTTATACAACATAGTATTTCAAAAAGCAATGATTTAGACAAAATGCAATTTTTAGAAACTTATTTGTGTTATATTTCACCTTTATAGCATTTAAAGATATAAACTATACATTTCATTAGAATAATTGACAACAGGCAAAATGAATGTCAAAAACTGGAAAAATTATCGGAAATCATAATTTTATGATGAAAACATTTAGAAATTCCTCAAAATATTAAATGGGTGAGGAAATGGCCCGATGCCTGTAGTTTATAAAACCCCTGTATTAAACTGGCAAACATCTTCCCAATTCAGGTTCAAACAGCCGATAAAGTTGAGAAGGCCCCGAAGTTTGCCCATCAATGCGAGGAGTGTCCAAAGAGTTTTAAGAAACCTAGTGATCTTGTACGCCATTTGAGAATCCATACAGGTGAGCAGTATCTTAAGGAGGGCATGTTTGGCTATGTTTTGTTCTGTATGCGAGTTAAGAGTTTAGGATGCAGATTATTTGTCCATGAGACAGAATTATGGTTATTCTGCACAATGAGAATGTTAATGTAATTTTCATCATTATTATTGGCAATACCTACAAAAATCAAAATCAAAATATTCTGATTAAATGTTGAAATTACATTTTCCAAAATTATTTTTTTCGATCTTTTACCCTTATGCTGATGTAACCTGCTTATTTATAATTCTATCTAATGTAAACAGTGCATACGTGTCATTTTAATATGTTACTGAATTCAATTTAATGATAAAGTAATCTTTAAATCAGATGTTTGGATAAATCCAAAGTCAGTTAGTTATGCAGAGTTTATCAAAAAAAGTAAAACTAAGGATGCAAGATCAGTTTTTACAAAAGTGGAATAGTGACATGAAAGTCCATAGTAAAAGTTACAACTATAAAATATTTAAAACAGAATTTTCATTTGAACAGTATTTAGACTGTATGCCAGATAAATATAGAAAAGTTCTAATTATGTACAGATTGTGTAATAATAAACTTCCAGTTGAAAGAGGACGTTATAAAAATATTCCTAGGGAAAATAGGTTTTGTGATTTATGTGGTAAAGGAATAGGTGATGAATTTCATGTCATTTTAGAATGCAAAGCTTTAAGTTATATTAGAAAAAGATACCTTCCTAAATGTTATACCACAAGACCAAACACACAGAAGTTTGAGAAATTAATGAATTCAAACAAAAATATACTCATAAAACTTTGTAAATTTTTAATCGAGGCTGGGCAAAAAAATGTTCTTACATGTATATAAATGTTATTTTAATGTTTGTTACTGTATTAGTTAAGTTTGTCTTTTGTACTCTTATACCCTATAAGGGGTGAATTGAGAAATCAATAAATAGAAAAAATAAAAAATCAATGGCAATTCTATATTTGATTTGTTAATGTAACAGTTATTTGAGAAAATATGCTTGTTTTGTTATAGGAGAGAAGCCATTTGAATGCAGTCAATGTAGCAGAAGATTCACAGTGAAGTCAACATTAGATTGTCACATGAAGACACATCTTGGAAGTAAGCATATTATTCTAACTTGATGTTTTAAGGTTTTATTTAATTCTCTAAACTGAATTTTGAATTAATGGTGATATCTGATCTTTTGATTGATAAGAACCTGTACTCTGTGACAGTGATATTGTTATATAGCTTTCATTTTTATGTCATCATGGTGACATATTGTTATTATGTCACCATGGTGACACATTGTTGAAGTCTCCAAGTTTTGGAGCTTCATTTGAGATTACTAAGATTGTAACAGGATCAAAGAAAGTCTTAAGGTTTTTCAATTTTTCTTCCAGGTGAAAAACGTTACAAATGCCATGTATGTAACTCTGCGTTTGCCACTAGAGGGAGCCTCAAGGTCCACATGCGACTACATACAGGTAAGAAATGTTTATTCATTTGTTGGTATTATATGGTTGGTTGGTGGGTTAGTTGTTTCGATTCGCACAATTACAATTTATCCTTCTCTTACCCTCCCCAAGGCTTGTATTAGGAAAACTCTAATGATACATTTTCTCAGGAGCTAAATCCTTCAAGTGACACCCTCTTGAGTGTCTTAAAATACTCCCCTCTCTATGCTCCAATGCTGTTATATTAAGAATACTCAAATGATTCATTTTTTCAGGAGCTAAACCCTTCAAGTGTCCACATTGTGAGGAGAGGTTCCGTACATCCGGCCACAGGAAGTGTCATATTCTCACCCACTTCAAGGTCCAATCTCCAGTGAAGACCACTGGAAGGAAACGCTCCGATGCATCAACATTACAACCTATGAATATACTAAATACTGACCAGCAGCAACAGGTATGTTCACAAACACAGATAATCATATTGTTGGATTTATTATCAGACTTTATTGTGATCAGTTTGTAGTAGTGGGGCAAGTCGCCGGAAAAGCTGGAGTCAACTTGACTATGGGAAAATGGTCAACTAAAAAAAACATGTTTTTTGACGTCTTTATTTTTGCAAAAACTAATCACAGTTTAATTTGAGATAATTTTTTTAATTCGATGTGATGTTCACATGGTAGAACTACTTTTACACCTCATTTTCTCATGACTAGACAAATTACTCATTTATTCAGCCCACCTTAAGTCCACCTGGAATGTATAAAAATGTGAAAATGATTTCAAAAATGATTATGAAATGTCCTGTTTCTTTCCTAGGTGGGAATTCCTCCGAACCAGCAGCAGGTGATCAATGTTGACCAGAACATGATTCAGAATGTGACACAAAATGTGGAAATGATATTTCAAATATGATTTTCAAATGTCCTGTTTTTCTTTTAGGTGGGTATTCCTCCGAACCAGCAGCAAGTGATCAATGTTGACCAGAACATGATTCAGAATGTTCCTATCTCTCTCATTACTGACCAGTCAGGCTACATGATGGACCAGAACCAGGGACCACAAGTCTTCCAGGGACTTGAAGGTATGTAACTTAGGCTATATCTATGTTAACGAATAGAGTATTACTTTTATATACTTTAAACAACAGCTTTTATATTTCTGTACTAGATTTCAAATTATTATATCAAGAATGGATTGAAAATATTCTATTTTTTTTCAATTTTCAATTCAATTCACTTTATTTCAAATGTTTCAAATACAGTATTTTACATTGACATGAAAAGACACCCCGAGGGGTGTATCAGTTCCATGTTTAACATACAATATAGCATTTATTAAATTAACAGTCAGGTTATATGGAAACAAAAAAAACAAACAAAAAAATGACAAAGCATAAAATGCATCACAATAAAATACAAGTAATGAGAAGAAACATAAAATAGTATCTTATACTTCAGGGATCCAACTACAACTAACAGGAAACATCAACCAAGGCATTCAGATCACAGGGCTTGATCCAAGTCTCCTCACTCAACCGCTGCAGATTGACGCCTCCCTTCTGCAACAGCTACAGACTCAGGGCAATCTCAGTGTTACCCTTAATCCTAATGTACTCGGCCAAGCGATGCAGACTGCAGATCCTAATCTAGTACAGAATATCCAGGTATTTATAAGCATTTCATTTGCTCTTAATTGGCCTTGTATCCAAAATCCATTTATAAATGATTTACATAATTTTCACTTAATCTAAGGAACATAGCCTGAGATTCTATGATTTATGACATAGTACATGTACCTTTTCTGGTCGTTGAAGACTGAAGAAAACTATTGATACTATACTAACATAACAATCAAGTGAAGTAACATGACGACTCATGTTCCGTTTATCATATGCTGCGAATTCTTCTGTCTGAGAAATGATTGTAATTTGTCTTTGTTAATTTGTCACTAAATATAATAATTCTAGGTTTCAACTGCTGACATGATGTCGCAGAATTCAATCATAATTCAACACCCAACATCAGAGCAGGCAGGGGAGGATGCTAACCAGATTCAAGAGCCTGTCGAATCTCAGCCAATGGTTATTGATGCACAAGATATTGAACCGCAGCCTAGTACCTCACAAGCCCAACAGGAGGCGCCACAGGTATGACAGCCTACTATGCACTACATTTTAGGGTTCTGTTAGTGGTTGACTTGTAATTTTTGCAAATTTGGACACCTGTCCCCTGACAACAGTTCATTTTGTTCAAATTCAGTTGTTTTTTTTTTGCGGATGGTGTTTGGTGGTTTGTGTTCGGCGATGGGTACCTGTAACAAAAGGCGGGTTGTGACATTTTGCATGTTAATGACTTGTTATTTTGATTTTTGATTTAGTTCACTTAGTTAATCAATACATTAGGCCATCAGATTCACCCCAAAATTTGGGTTATCGGTATCAAGTTAGGGGAATAATCGCCATAGTGATTTTTGGGAAGGTTAAGACCTTAGAGTAACAAAATATGTGATAGCATTGCAACAGTTGTAGCTAAATGGGTGTTATCACCCATTTTTCAAAATGGCCGCCGGTGCACGAGTTACAATATATATGTAGGTATATCTAAGCATACTGAGATACAAATACTGTGATTTTAGGGTCTTAGTTTAGGTTTTAGGGGTCAAGGATTTCATTTATGTCTAAATCTGAGTCATGAAATAATTAATTTTGATAGAAATCCAAGATGGCTGCCAAAACGAATTTATAATTATTGATTTAAACTCAAAAAATACTTAAGAGCAGTGAATTTGTAGCCCATGTCTAGATTTAAGGGTCAAGGATTTCATTTATGTCTAAACCTTTCAGTTGTCAAATAATTACTTTTATTAGAAATCCAAAATGGCCACCAAAATGAGTGCCAAAACGAATACGTAACTTCTGATTTAAGTTAAAAAAACACACTTAAGAACAGTGACTTTGGAGCCCATGTGTACATTTTAGGGGTCAAGGATTTCATTTATGTCTAAATCTTTGAGTCTTGAGTCATTAAATAATTGTTTTTCATAGAAATCCAAAATGGCCGCCAAAATGAGTGCCAAAACGAATTTGTAACTTCTGATTTAAGCTAAAAAACACACTAAGAACAGTGATATGGAGCTGATTTGTACAATTTAGTGGTCAATGATTTCTTTTATCTCTAAATCGATGCAATCAAATAATAACTTTTTAAAGTAATCCAAGATGGCCACCAAAATGGGTGCTGAAATGAATATGTAAACATTGATTTAATCTCAAAGAAATGTTGAGAACAGTGATTTTAGAGACCATGTCTAAGTTTTAGGGGTCAAGGATTTCATTTATCTCTAAATCCAAGTCATCAAACAATTACTTTATATAGAAATCAAAGATGGCCACCAAAATGGATGCCAAAATAAATATGTAACTATTAATTGAAGCTCAAAGAACAATTAAGAACAGTGATTTTGTAGACCATGCATATTATGTAAGGGTCATGGATTTCATTTATGTCTAAATCTACGTTATCAAATAATAACTTTTTATAGAAATCAAAGATGGCCACCAAAATGGGTGCCAAAACAAATATGTAACTATTGATTCAAGCTCAGAACAGTTCAAAACAGTGATTTTAGACACTATGACAAGGTTTAATGGGGTAAGAATTTCAATTATGTGTATAACTAAGTCATAAAATAATTCTTTCATTTGGACATCGAGAAGGCCGCCAAAATGGCTGCAGAAGTGAATATGCAGCTCTTTAGCAATATCAAGAATAGGATCATGGTTTTACACTTTGGCTGCTTCAATGAAAGTACTGTTCTTTGAGCTTGAATCAAAAGTTACATATTCAGTTTGGCACCCATTGTGATGGCCATCTTGGATTTCTATATAAAGTAATTATTTGATGACGAAGATTTATAACATACATGGAATCCTTGACCCCTAAAACCTAGACATGGTCTCAATTAACTGTTCCTTGAGCTTAAATCAAAAGTTACATATTTGTTTTGGCACCTATTTTTGTTGCCATCATGGATTTCTACAAAAAGTGATTATATGATGACTCAGATTTGGCCCTTAAAATGTAGACATGGGCTCAAAATTCACTGTTCTTAAGTGTTTTGAGCTTAAATCAATACTAACATATTCATTTTGTAATTTGGCACCCATTTTGGTGGGCATCTTGGATTTCTATTACAGTTTTTTTTAGCTTAAATCAATAGTTATATATTCGTTTTGGCACCCATTTTGGCAGCTATATTGGATTTCTATGAAAAGAAATTATTTAATGACTAAGATTTAGACATAAAAGAAATCCTTGACCCCTAAAACCTAGATATTGTCTCCAAAATCACTGTTCTCTGAGCTTAAATCAAAAGTTACGTATTCATTTTGGCACCCATTTTGGCAGCCATCTTGGATTTCTATATAAAGTAATTACTGATGACTCAGAATTAGACAGAAATAAAATCCTTGGTCCTTAAACATAGACATGGGCTCCAAATTCACTGCTCTTAAGTGCTTTTGAGCTTAAATCAATACTTACATATTCATTTCGGCACCCATTTTGGTGGCCATCTTGGATTTCTATAAAAAAGTAACTATTTGATGACTTAGATTTAGACAAAATTGAAATCATTGACCCCTAAAATGTAGACATGGGCTCCAAATCACTGTTCTTAAGTGTTTCTGAGCCTAAATCAATAGTTACACATTAGTTTTGGCACCCATTTTGGCGGCCATCTTGGATTTTTATATAAAAAGTAATTGTTTGATGACTTAGATGTAGTCATAAAGGAAATCCTTTACTACTAAAACCAAAATATATTTACTAAAATCACAGTTTTTGCATCTCAGTGTGCTTAAATATACCCACTCTTATATTGTAACATGTGCACCGGCGGCCATTTTGAAAAATGGGTGATAACACCCATTTAGCTACAACTGTTGCAATGCTATCACATATTTTCTTACTCTAGGGGTCTACACCGTCCCAAAAATCACTATGGTAATTATTCCCCTGATTTGATACCGACCAACCCCCCAGGCTGATGGACTACATGTATTCATCTTCGATCGTCATGCTTATAGCATGACAGAATATTAGTTTAGTTAGTGACAATTATATACAAAGGAGCAACATGCAATTGTATAGTAGTGTGAGTTTTGGGAGTCTTTTGTGGGTCATAGTTTATAGTTCAATGACAGTGGAAAGGATATAAGTCATTGTCTGTCCCACAGATTCACTCTTACTGCTTGGTGCATGATTCAAAACTGCAGTTACCTTATCATCTACATAGCCAAGCCAAGAATGGGCCAATGTGCTCTACAACAATGGGAACTTGCTATATCATAGCTCATTGGCTGTATCCCAGATTCATTGTCAATGCCTAAGGGTCAATACAACCCACGTGCGATTTGTTTTGGTCATGGTATATAGGAAAAGTAGTACTTAAAACACTAGTTTGCTACTTTGTAGATGTATGGCATGTATATGTGTACATGCATTGACAATTAATGTTTGGTAATAGCTAGTAGGAGTGTCAGTGACAGATTATAATTTTGAACCAAAAATTTGAATTATATTTTTGGCGGTCTCAGTAAATCAATGAGGTAATCAGGTCCTACGTGCTTTTTTCAGGCCCAGAAATCAATGCTCGCTTATAAATGTAGCAAAATCTTTTTTCGTTCGTGGGATATTTTTTTCACCATATAACCGAACGGGAAGTTTTTGAATAGGACTACATGATCTGAATGGATGCAAGGATTCGATGGGCTGGGATTTAAGTTAAGCATATGAGAGTCAATTCACTTGTTATCAATGTTTTATCATTTACTTTCAGGCTAATTAGACCATTTAAATTGCATTATTTAGACACTTTGCTGCAACATATTGAGAATATTGAAGTGGTATGATATGTTTGAAGACAGATGTTGTTTGCAGATTCAGATTGTTCTGCATATACCCATAATTTGATCAGTGTCGTAAAGATGGCAGAATGGTTCAAATTGCCAAATCAATGCAGCTAATGGAGAAGTTCTAAGGTGTATGTAAAATTATCCCTGTATTTTTCAATTTATGTTTAATATTGGGGGCAGAGGCAGGATTAGAAAGTAGATGAGTCAAAGTAGGACTTTGTTATTTTCAGGGAACTTACTCATGTATGCTATAAAGTCAATGGCAGGTTTTGTGATTGAAAGTTGTTTTACCTACCTAAGTCTAAGTCTGAGTAACTGAACAACTGAGAAACTAGCTCATGTTATTTGAACTAAACAGTTTTTTCTGTCCAAAGTTAATCCTATCCAACACTGTAAGCGCAGGGCTATGGGTCCTTTATTGTTTAAGGATTGGAATTTGAATTTAGTTCTAGCTTTCGGGGCTAATTTTATAGAGTTCTAATGAGGTATATCTCTGATTGAAGAATTCATAAGACAAAATTTTATGGTTGTCATGCTAAATCTAAAAAATGCCAAATAATCAGTCATTTCATAGAAATCTAGTCTTTCAGTCTATCCTAGAACAAGAGGCTCTGTAATTTTGTAAAATTTTCTCCCTAAACGCATTAAAGCAACAAAGCTCTATGAAAATTTGGTTATGACCTTGTAAAAATCATGAAAATCAAGCTATTTTGACCAGTTTTGGACTACATTTAGAAGTATAAAGAGAATTTTGCACTTAGTTAAAAAAAATTCTGATATATATTTTTTTTTCATGCCACCCCCAACCAACTCTCATAAAACATAACTTTTCTCAGAGATTCTTTTCAAATGTACTTTAAATTTAAAATTTAAAGTAACAAAAACAAATGGAGCAAGAAAAATTTTACTTCAGTGTATGAGACAACAGAAATTAATTAAATCTGGTGTTTCAAAAATCGTGAAATTTCAATTCCTACTAAATGAGTTGAGAGGGGTAGGCCTAATCCCTTACTTGCAATAGGACCTATTGAATAATCAATGAACAGATTCTAGATATAATAACATACAATAAATCACCTCGAGCCCGCTTGTCGATCAAACGAGTATTTGTGAGGCTAAAACTAAGATTTATGACCGTTAATTAATCAATCTTGAGAGGGACATTTGAATATTACATCTCTAGTTTGCTCCTGCATTGGACTCACCCATGGGTAAAATACCTCGGGGTGACA